CAGGGAAACCGGAACAGGGGCGTGGACACTACGGGGGGGCCACGTCCAACTGCAAACCCCTAAGTGTATTAAAAGGGTCTTCACATCCGCCTACTAAGCCTATATTAGACCATATATCAAAAGCCAATGAAGCAACCTTTGAACCTAAGATGAGGCATTATACACCGCTAGAGATTCGTGAGAAAAATTATGAGAAGGTTCGAGCACGAATTATGGGTGATAGCGAGGTCCAACAGGGCAATAATTCCAAAATTAAAAAAATCCGCCAAAAATTTAGAAATAAGCGTAAGGAGATGAATTTAGTGGTAGCGTCAGTTGAAAAATATGGTGGTAGATCTGATCCAAGATTATTTGCCGAAGTAGAGGTCCAGGGGACAAAAATTAGGGGTCTGTTAGACACCGGGGCTTCAGTCAGCATCCTGGGTAGAGGGTGTAGAGAATTTTTGGAACCTCTCGACGTCACCATAAGCCCAATTTTTACTAATGTAAAGACTGCCTCTGGCCACCAACACAGAATAGTGGGAAAAGTAAAGTTGGATTTAAAGTATAATGATATAGTGAGAGAGTTAGAGTTGTATCTATGTCCCGACCTGGAACAAGAATTGTATCTGGGTATAGACTTTTGGAGAGAGTACAATCTAGTACCCACGATTATTGAGGCTAGTGAAATAGATGTCGAGAAGATTCAAAGGGATATCGTGGATGATGAAGCCTATAAGATGAATCCCCATAATTTATCGCCCCAACAACAGCAACAATTAGATGAAGTCATAAAGAACTTTGACACCTTTGAAAACAAGGGTTTAGGTAAAACCACTCTCGAAAAACATAGCATTAAGTTAGTAGAAGGAGCAGAACCTGTTAAAGATCGTCATTATCCGCTATCCCCAGCTGTCCAAGCTATAGTGTACGAGGAAATCGATAACATGCTCCGGCTCAATGTGATAGAAGAGAGCGAGAGCCCATGGAGTAACCGTACCACTGTAGTCCGGAAGCCGGGGAAAAACAGGTTCTGTCTCGACGCACGCAAACTAAATAAATTGACAGTGAAAGATGCGTACCCACTTCAAAATATTGATGGGATATTGAGCAGGATAGATGAAACGTACTTTATAAGTAGTGTCGATTTGAAATACGCCTTTTGGCAAATCGAACTTGACGAGGAAAGTAAAGCCTGCACTGCGTTTACAGTGCCCGGTAGGCCATTATACCAATTTAGGGTAATGCCTTTTGGGCTCTGTAATGCAGCGCAGCGCTTATGCAGACTTATGGACAAAGTCATACCTCAGCGTTTAAAAGATCACGTTTTCATCTATCTTGACGACCTCTTAGTTATCTCGAGTGGATTTGAAGAACACCTACAACTATTAAACGAAGTGGCAATGTGCCTGAAAAAAGCCAACCTAACAATAGGAATGGAAAAATCCCAATTTTGTTTCCAGGAACTAAAATATTTAGGTTTCATTATTGGCCAAGGTAGATTGAGGACAGATCCGGATAAGATTAAGGCGATTAAGAATATAAAAATACCCAGAAACCCACGCGAAGTTAGGAGCTTTCTCGGAACCGCGGGCTGGTACCGCAGGTTCATAAAGGATTTTGCAACAATATCTGCACCTTTGACCGATAGTCTCAAAAAGTCAAAAAAGTTCGAAATTAGCAATGAAGGGATTAAGGCATTCGAAAATTTGAAAAAGGCCCTCACCTCAGCCCCCGTACTACGCCATCCCGACTTTACTAAACACTTCTACATACAATGCGACGCTTCGGACTATGGCATAGGGGCCGTTTTATTCCAGTTAAGCAATAATAAGGAAGAACACCCTATAGCCTTCTACTCGCAGAAGCTTAACTCGTGTCAAAGAAACTATAGCGTGACCGAGAAAGAGTGTTTGGCTGCGGTGATGGCGATTCGAAAATTTAGGCCTTATGTGGAAATGATGCCTTTCACCGTGATAACCGACCACGCATCCTTAAAGTGGCTAATGTCCTTAAAGGACTTGAGTGGTCGATTAGCACGGTGGTCACTTCAATTACAGGCATACGACTTTGAAATCGAACATAGGAAGGGATCAGAAAATGTTGTGGCCGATATGTTGTCTCGAGCTCCTGTAGATAAGGAGGTCGACGAACTGAATATGGAAGAATTTCTAGACTTCGAAACAACAGAATTCGAAAGCGAAGAGTACCTTGATCTTATAAAAACCATCAATGAAAATAGCCAACGATTACCGGATTTAAAGGTTAACGACGGGATGGTCTACAAGAAAAGTCTTCCAGATCCATTAATAGAGGATGAAATTCAGTGGAAGCTGTGGCTACCAACGGGGATTACCCATGAAATCATTGTCAAGGCACATACATCACTTACGGCGTGTCATGGAGGTATAACCAAAACCCTTGAAAAAATTAAAAGATTTTTCTATTGGCCAAACATGGCGAGTCAGGTCAAACAATACATAAAGAATTGCCAAAAATGCCAAGAAGCTAAATCTAGCAACCAACATTTAATGCCAGATATAGGAAGAGAAGTGGTTACCGAAAGACCCTTCCAAAAATTATACATCGACTTCCTAGGAAAGTATCCAAGATCTAAAAAAGGGAATGCCTACATTTTTATTGTTGTCGACCACTTCTCGAAGTTTACCTTTTTAAAGGCTATGAAAGAAGCCACTGCCGCAAATGTTGTAGAATTTTTGGTGGAGGAAATATTTCATAAATTTGGGGTCCCCGAAGTGATCCATAGCGACAACGGGGCCCAATTTGTCTCTAAAACTTTTCAAGCTATGATGGACTCTTACAAAATTAAACATCTAAAGACCGCATATTATGCCCCTCAGTCCAACGCTTCTGAGCGGGTTAACCAGTCTGTAATCACGGCTATAAGAACCTATCTAGAAGAAGATCACAGAGACTGGGACCTGTATCTGAATGAAATCGAATGTGCATTGCGGAACTCGATACATTCGGCTACAGGAGTTACGCCATTCTTCGCGATATACGGGTTCCACATGTTTTCCAGTGGCCAAGATTATAGCCTGGCTCGGAAATTGATGTCTATGACAGAGCATGAGTTGTCTGGTTTACAGAGACATGAAAAATTAGGCCTAATTCGTGAAAAGGTCAAACAAAATCTCCACAAAGCTTATGAGAGAAGCTCCGAGCGATATAATAGGAGGGCTCGAGTCGTAAAATTTAGACCAGGCCAAGAGGTATATAGGCGGAATATTGTCCAATCCGATTTTTCAAGGAATGTCAATGCAAAATTTTGCAAGAAATTCCTGAAATGTCGGATTGTCAAGCCTATAGGAGGAAATATGTACGAGTTGGAGAATCTTCAAGGACAGCCTATTGGCGTTTATCATGTAAAGGATATTAAATCATAATGTGCAATATTAACTGAACCTGTGATACTTTTAGGACTAAGCATGTATGTTTGTGTTGTCCAAATAGTTTTAGGTTCAATTTAATAGTGCAATATAGTGATTTAATAATACCTGTGATAAACCAGTACCTGAATATGTTCGTGAATGTCTCCCATATACACCTAATTATACACTTCCCCGAATTATACACCTCTATTTATACCTCTAGTCTAATATCCCTATCGTGATTATACACCCATTGAGTAGTATGACTAATTCTATAGATATATCGAACTCACCCTTGGTCCGTTACAAATCCAAACCTAGTTCCTGTAGCTCCAAATGATAGGCCCAGAAGTGATATCCGAAAATCCAGCCCTGGAAAGAAACAAACCGGTCACCAAGTATCGGAACATTCAATTACAAATACCTATTAATACTTCCCTAATCTTATTGCCCGGCTCATCTCAGGGCGTGAGAATTCCCCACGTTGGACTTGATCCAAACAAATGTAGCCACGAATCCATAGGCCCTCAGCACACCATCTCTGGCGGCAGTTTTTGCCAGTGATGGAGTTTTGTTGCGAGGCCCTCGAAATGCCCAAGTCCGCACCTGGACACCCAAAAAAATTTTGCGTGGAGGGTTTTTTAGGGGAGACCATTTTTGCCTTCGTGGCGGTCTCCAAACCACGGGTGAATTAAATTATTCCTAGCTTCCGATGTGCCTTTAAAGATGGGGAAGCTAGGAAGGGCTAGATGTTAGTAAGGGTGTTAATATTTAGGTTTTGGTAGGCACTTGCTGCGGGTAACACTTGTCATTGTTAGCCATGCCTTGTTAGTAATGTTAGAATTGTGCTTGATATGCAGGCTATTAAAATGCCTGTGATGTTGGTTGGTGGCTGGCAAAAGATCTGAGGCCACGTTTTATTTTCTTTGGGGGATCGTGGGGTTTTAGTATTGCCTGGGAATGGTGGCCAGGACTTATATTTCGGCAAATACATTACCGGGGGGAGAGTGTCGGGGCAGCCAAAATTCTTGCAGTGAGCCCATATTACATTCCAAGGAAAGTGATGTGTGTTCACGAGAAATATGGCCGGCTCCGATACTCCGCCACCAGAAAAACCGCTGAAAAGAAAAAAAGAAATAATTAATAAATATAAAATGGTTTAATTGTAGAAATATAAAAATAAATTGGAACGACGCAAGCTAATACTACCACCGCCAAATACTAATGCCAAAAACAATGACAGTTGTCAGATGGCTATGAATGACATTCACTACGAAGTGATAACCCAAATGGAATTGGTAATGGAACTTAAGCAAAGTAGAGACGGTGTTGCCGATGTGGAGTTAAATACTCTTAGATAGCAGTCGCGAGAAAAATTGTGACTCTTAATTTTTTTGGGCAAATATGAGTATGAAAGTTTCACTAGACAGAGACCATTTCTTTAATTTAGATAAGGATAACTGGTGTCTAATGAACAAAATGTCCATCAGTGGAAAGCTACAACGGCGCACTGAAAAGGTTATAAAAGAGAGTAGCCAATGAAGAGAGGTTAATAGTTAGAAAATTGGTGCTGAACGAGAAAAAACGTTCATACTGAAAATTGGAAGTTCAGTGAAAAATATTCATGGCTATTAAGATATTAAATTGAAAAAAGAACTACAAATTTAAATAAAAGGTGATAATTGTGTGAAAATTAGTGAAAAATGGAAAAAAAATGATTAACAAGTCTTTAAAATTAGGTTTGCTTGGAGGATTGTGTGATTTTTGTTGGTCTTTGCGGTGAACCCAGTGGATAAATTAATTAATAAGTGTGAGGCGAAAGCCATTGAGGTAATTATTAAAAGTGGCTAAATTCTTTTAAGCCAAATATTAAAATTCCTATTTCTTGGATAGGCCAGCCACGTTTACACACGACAGCGCAACAACGAAAGAAAAGCGCTATCTCTTGGGTGAAGACCAAACATCACAAACATTATCCCGGTATTGCAAAGGTAGGAAAATATAATTTCCCAACTTTTTATAGCACCAGTATATCTGCCCCACCGCCATCTACGGGACAGTGGCTATACAAGCATTCCACGTGATCTCGGTTCAGCACCACTTTATTCCTATAAAGAAAAAATTGGCTGTGTTAATGATCCAAGACACAATAGGATCCACACATATATCGACAAACTGTCATAATTTTACAAGGTTTCCAAGGTGGAAGATTTTTGCTATTACCACGATTGGTGCAGAAGAAAAGAAAAAGCCTGGAAACAAAATTCTAAGTGGCGCAAGTAGTAAAATTAATGAATAAGAAGTTAGCGTCACTATTCTTAACTACAATTTTCATCTAAAAACGATTTTTATTGACCTAATATTAAAATTTTTTTTATCACATTTAAAATCAAAAATTATTCCTGTTATTCCTGTCAAAATATTATTCATATTTAGATTTAGTTATTTGTATTGACTTATTTTATTAGTATTATTATTTATGTTTATTTGTTTGTTACGTGTCTAAATTTTCTTTTTTTCAGCATTCTCAAAGCTAAGGTTTCAATATAGTTTTTTTTTTTGTTCCCCATTAAATTTCTTCGCAACAGAGCTCTTTTGTCGAGGTTATTAGGGTGGGTTTGAAAGTGTTAAAAGTATATATATTAAAAACCACGTTCATTGTGGATTCGGAAAAAAAATAGCTTTGCGAGTGTAATTTCAGTCTTGTCTATTAATGTTCATGGAATTGGACATGAAATAAACCTTTTTTTTGAGGTAAAAGATTCATGGTCAAAAGACCGTTCGTTATTTAATTTGGCAAATAGCCGTTAAAATTTTAAATTTCCTAACAACCCTTTAGCAGGAATAAAACAACTATTTAAATTTTTATGTGATAATTTTTTTTAGATATTTATTGTATTTTTATTGTTGTAAGTTTTTTTTTTATTAAGCATAAACGACTTCTTGTTAGGATTAGTAATTCTTTTAAATAATAATAAAAAATGATTTGAATGTTTGTCAAGATTAAAAAGATGACGTGTTAAGTTAGCTAAAGAGGAATTAAGGACGAGGTAAGTGGTGGATGTGGGCGGTTTGTGGGGTCAGTTAAGTAAAGAAGAGGAGGTACTGATCATGGTTGGGTGGGCATGATATTGGTCATCGGTTGGGGGTCCAGTATAGGAGGTGATGCATCGTTGTGTTAATGTAGTATTCAGTGTTGTGTCTTCATTTTAATTGCTGCATGTCAGGAGTAGGGGTGACGGGTTGGGACCACACCCAGAGAGGCGACCAAGCTAGTCGGAGCACATATGGACATGACCCCCTACTACAGCGCATGTAACATCTTCTTGTATAATGAAAAACATTTTTTCTTCACTTTTAATGGTAATTTCAATTTGATTCGAAACTTTTCGTGCGAAAGTTTGCAAAACTAAATTTGTGAAAATAAGGAAGGTAGGTAGGTAAGAATTTCAAGGAAGTAGAAGAAGATGAAAATGAGAAAGAAGATGTTGAAAATTGTGGAAACTTATGGGCGAAGAAAAATCGTAGCTACCCTATATAATGGGAAAAGGAAAGCAGGATCTAAGGGTTGTAGATATTTTTTTGAAAAGAACACATACTATTCAGAAAAATGAATGAACGCTTTATAGGCTTGATTTACACTTCTCATCAACTAGATACCATGTATATAAACATATATATATATAGGGTGAGATGAAAAACCTGCAACCAACTTCAGACTGTTGTCATTTCTAAGCCACAGCTGTTAAAATTATTCCAGTGACAGATCATTATATGGTTTATAAGCGTGCAAAAGCATTTAGTGAGAATTTTCTAGAAAAAAAGTTATTCGTAATTTGTTTATATTTGGCTGGAAAACCACAAGTGGCTATCGTTAGAGCACTCCAGCATTTAAATGTGAATAGATCTTTTGTGTCTCTTACCAACGCTCGTTAGCGTGATACTGGTAGCGTAGCCCAACGTCAAGGAAGTGGACGGAAGAAAACAGCAACATCAGCAGAAATGGTTCGAAAAGTAAAGAAGCGACTTGATCGAAAATCGCTTCGCAGTGGCCGAAAAATGTCCAGTGAGGTGAACATATAAATTCGGCAAATATTGAAAAATGAGCTCTGGGTAAAGCCATTGAAATTCCAATATGTGCTAGAACTTATACCACAACAGAGAGAAAATAGACTCAAAAGAGCTTAAGAGTTGCTTCGCTTGGCCGAAAGTGGTGAACTGCCGATTACAAAACATTCGTTGTCCAGCAGTTTGTAAACAAACAAATTAATCGTGTTTACTTGCCAAAGAGGTCAGCTGAAAATGTGCACCTTCGGTTGGCCACCAGAACTCAACCGCCAGCCATGGTGATTGTGTGGGCCGCCATAACAGCCCATGATCGCCCTCCGCTCGTATTAATCGACCGTGGCATCAGAATAAATGACGAATATTATCGCTAAAATGTTCTGGAGGGTGTATTAAAGCTTTAGGCACGCAAACATTTTGGCCGCAGACATTTGACATTCCAACAGGACTCAGCACCATCGCACTCAGCACGCGCCACCCAAGAATGGTTACAATATGAGGTTCCTCGCTTCATTTCCAGCACACAATGGCCACCAAAATCTCCGGATACCAATCCGTTAGACTATTGTGTCTGGAGTATTTTGGAAAGCAAGCTTGGCACTAGAAAATACCAAAGTGTCGCTCACGTCAAGCTAGCGGTTCGCCGGGAATGGACTAAAATACCGCAGAGCAACATTCGGACAGCGTGTGACGGTTATATTGGCCGTATGAAGGGCATAATTCGTGCGAAAGAATAGGATTCGAACAAATCTAAACTTCTTCTAAAATAGAACAGTGTGGCTTGTTTGTTCGGGATACCGTAGTATTTTGCTGTTGCAAAATGGCCAGGCTTTATCCCTTTTTTTTTTTGTTTTTATAAAAACAACGTTTGTTTATTTGTGGGGAACGATGGTAATGTTTACCAGGGGGTAAGGCAGGGAATACCTAGGTTTCGGAAAGAGCCACCAATCCTCATCAGTTCCCTTGTTTTTTGTCTGGGATATTCTCCCCAGAAGTTATTTTGAAAATAACTTCTATGACAAAAAACATTTTTTACCCAAGTGACGAGATCGTAAGCTCAATAGAAGAGGAACCAAAGAATTAAATAAAACTAAAATTCTTTTGGAAAGTCTTCTAAATCTTACAACCGCACTTATAAACATTTACATCTTTCTCCACTTGTTATGCTTTCGTTAAACCTGAACGAAGTAGCATAACCATGTAAGTTGGTTTTGTCTGTTACAACAAAAACCCCTTCGTCGACCGTGCCTTGTCTATTAATAGAACAGTGTGGCTTGTTTGTTCGGGATACCGTAGTATTTTGTTGTTGCAAAATGGCTAAATTTGATACAATTTCTTCTAAAATTTGATACAATTTCGACATGTTTTGCTTTGTTGCAGTTATTTTTATCTCACCCTGTACGGGAGCTATATTTAAATTTTAAGCAATTATCTCCAATTTCGATAGGGTTCTTCCTCGGGTCAAACAAATGACTTGTGCAAAATTTGATCTGGATCGGGCAATAAATGCGAGCTGTACTTTGTTTATAAAAAAGCATGGACAGGCATACGGACGGACCTGCATATATCGACTCAGAATGTGATTCTATGCAGATTATCAAAAGGGACTATGGGTCTATCTCGTTTCCTTTTGCTTGTTACAAACAAATGCACAAATACATAATACCCTGACCACCTTGTGATGTAGGGTGTAACAGGACATGTTCCAAATCTTTCAAGGATGAATTGTACATATTCGAAAAATCCTAGGTCACATTTGAGGTCCTGGTTTTTCCATTATAAAATTGTGTCTTGCAGAAACCTATACCTCCCAAAATATTTAATCTACAGATAAAAAACCGTCTTGGCAATTTTTGTTCCAAACATAAAAGTTATGTAATTGAACGGTGTTTGGCGGGAAAATTATTAAGAACTTATTTCGAGAACATTTAGATTTGACTTTTGAGAAGAGTTTTTGAAGGACTGTCGGAGCTGCAAACGTGCTGTGCTTCAAAAGTGGATTTATGAGGGTCTAACTAAGTCGGCATAATCCTTCTCCTTCTTATAAGAGAGAGACAGAGATAGAGAGAAAACATCAGAGTATTATCCATTATTTTTCTTCTTCTTCTTTTGCCCATTTACGTTGGCCTCTGAACTTTGCGATATTCTATTAGACACAGTAGCTATGGCTATGGAATGCTGGTGTTTTTAATTAAACGCAACAAAGTCCAACGAACGGGAGGCGAATCAGGAATCACAAAGAAGAAAAAACCAGTAACATTTGCCTTTTCACAGCTTGCATTTGGAAAAATATACAATCATCAGGGCAGCTTAACGCCGAAGAGGTGTTGAAAAAAATTTGCAATTGCAGTTTAAGTTCGATAAAGTTTTTTAATCCTGAGAATTTTTGAGTTTTAAAAGGTGTGGGATTAAATCTCTTAGAAATGGGGTGCAATGATTGCAGGAGTCGCCGGTGATGTTAAGATAATAGCGTAAAAGGAAATTTTTGTTATAAATAGTATAAAGCTAAACTATATAGGTGTGGGTACATAAGCAGCTTCAAGTCTTTGCATGACATATTTTGTGCCACATCATAAAGGAATGCCAGAGCCGCAATCGAATCCTGCCGCCATTTCCCCTTATAATCTGACATTAATGTGCCTACCCATGATGCCAAGCTGCTTATGTACCCTCACCTTTAAGCAAATAATTCTCAATAGTTGCTCTTTTCCAGAATCTACTAGTTTTGCCATTGTTTTCGATATCATAATGGAAAATCGGTTATAGTGGTAAAACATTTTACATTCTTGCAGTTCTGGAACAGAACAAATTTTTCTTCCTTAATAAGCTGAGATTATTTTATTTTCACTTAATCCTACAAATCTAAAAAACCTTACTTATACTTGACATCAATGTCTCCCTTAAGCTGAGAGTACATGGCTGGCTGGCTTAAGTCATCGACTGGCTTCTTCGGAAAAGAACCAAGGAGCCTAGGTCCGAACTAAGTCAACCTAAAACTCCTTTGTTCCTCTACAAAGAAGCCAGCCGATGACTTAAGCCAGCTAAATAAGCGCTTTATGTATTCCCACCTTTAGATACTAAGTCCTGAGCTTGACGGCTTGATTCTATCCCGTAGCTGTCATTCCAAATTTTTGATTTTTAATCACAATCGTTATTCCTTTTCAGAACGTGCATCATATAGGCTTCGAATCTTAATAAAAATCCTTGGGTAAGATGAAAAAACTGCAACCAACTTCAGACTGCTGTCATTTCCAAGCCGCTCGACCGACAGCTGTTAAAATTATTCCAGTGACAGCTCATTATATTGTTTACAAGCGTACAAAAGCATTTTGGTGAGAATTTTCCAGAAAAAAAGTTAGTCGTGATGGAATTTAAGCGTGATAGTATGATTTCGTTAGAGCACTCCAGCATTTAAATTTGAATAAATCTTTTGAGTCTCGTACCATCGCTCTTTTTGGAGATTCCAACAGGACTCAGCACCATCGGCACTCAGCAAGCGCCACCCAAGAATGGTAGAAAACTAGGTTCCTTGCTTCATTTCCAGCGCACAATGGCCATCAAAATCTCCGGATACCAATCCGTTGGACTATTGTGTCTGGAGTGTTTTGGAAAGCAAGGTTGGCACTAAAAAATACCGAAGTGTCGATTACCTCAAGCAAGCGCTTCGCCGGGAAGGGGTCAAAATACCGCAGAGCCGTGTTACGGTTTCATTGGCAGTTTGAAGGCCATAATTCGTGCCAAAGGTGACCAATTCGAACAAATCTAAACATATTCTATTCATATTTTGCTTTCATTTAATAAAATTTGACAAAAAAAAATAAAAATTATGGCTTTTGGCTTTGTTGCAGTTTCTTTTATCTAACCATGTAATTTGACATTAATGCGACTATCCATGATGCCAAGCTGCTCATGGACCCTCAACTTTAAGCAAATAATTCTTAACAAGATTTTTTTCCTTGGTTCAAGTTGCTTCTGATGTACTTCCATTATATCCCAATGAGTTTCTTTGGATGTCACTGTCGCCTTGAGAATATTTTTGCTGACTGCATCCGAACCTTATTGAAAATTGTATTTGAACTTTCATTTTCATTCAAGCCGCTCAAATTAGGATGGCCAAATCGGAAGTGTCATTTTATGACTTCTTCATTAGATCTTGCAACATTATAGCACCTATTTTGTACCGCTTTTGAGTTCTCGTAAATGTACAACACGTTCTTTTTAAAGGCTATCATTACACACTTATTTTGATTTTCTCAAAAATTTCAAGTTAGGAATTTTAATTCAAATAAATTTACCTTGAATTCGTTCCACCATGAGAATTTCCTTCGGAGATTGCAGTGTATATCGCATATTGTTTTTTTTTTCAATTATTCAATTCCTATAAAATTAAAGACCCCATGTCTTCCCCTCTCCCATTACTTCATTATTTCAAAATAATTTTCCAAAGTATTGCCACCCGCCCAATTTTACAGCCTTTTCCCCTATTTCAATGCCCCTCTCCACGAGTATATACATTACAATCAATCGCAATCTTGCAAACTAAACATCAATACCAGCAGCAGAACAAGCGAACAAACTGAAAGTAACAACAGCAACAATATGCTAGAAAATGTAAAAAAGTACAAAACAGAAACGAAAGGAAAAACTTTCATTTCGTTTGTTTAAAACAGCCAATTTTCACAAGTTCCGCAAAATGAGCATAGTTTGCTTACACTTCTTCCTAACCGGAAACAAATGTCGTCGCGTACTTAATATTATTCAAAAGTTTTGCCGAGTTTTCTTTCTTTTTTTTTTTGTTCGCCGTTGCTTTTCTCGATGGCGAAGAATAAACAATGAAACTAAAAGCATGGAACAATGCTGATCAGGAATCGACGTCACACAGTTTAGGCTATGTTATGGAGCAGACCATCGAACTTGAGGGACACCTTTATCTGGAACTGGTCCTGGCGTAGCTTAGTAAGGCTGGAAATACATAAAGAGCATATTTGGCTGGCTTAAGTCATCGGCTGGCTTCTTCGTAGATGAACAAAGGAGTTTTAGGTTGACTTAGTTCGATTTTGGCCCTGGGCTACTTTGTTCATTTCCGAAGAAGCCAGCCGATGACTTAAGCCAGTCAGATAAGCGCTTTATGTGTTTCCAGCTTAAAGCTGCTATCAGACAATAAATGTGAGAATTGTCACGCTTTGTTGACTGGCTTAAGTCATCGGCTGGCTTTTTCGTAGAAGAACCAAGGAGTTTTAGGTTGACTAAGATCGATTATGGACCTATGCTCCTTTCTTCTTTTCCGAAAAAGCCAGCCGATGATTTAAGCCAGTCAAAAAAGCCTCTTATGTATTCTCACCTTAAGGGTTTTACACATATGCTGTCGTTTTTATTTTTCGTGTGTACAGGGTGAGACAAAAAAACAGGTCAAACGCCATAATTTTTACATTTTTTTTTAATTTTATTGAATAAAAGCAAAAAATGTCGGAAATAACATCAAATTTTAGAATAAGTTTAGATTTGCTCGAATCGGTCACCTTTGGCACGAATTACGGCCAATGAAGCCGTCACACGCTGCCCGAATGTTGCTCTGCGGTATTTGGGCACATTCGCGGCAAGCGCTTGCTGGAGGTGATCGACACTTTGGTATTTTTTAATGCCAACCTTACTTTCCAAAATACTCCAGACACAATAGTCCAACGGATTGGTATCCGGAGATTTTGGTGACCATTGTGCGCTGGAAATGAAGAGAGGAACCTCATTTTGTAACCAATCTCCAAGGTCTGCGGCCAAAATGTTTGCGTGCCCAAGGCTTTAATACACCCTCTAGAATATTTTCCCGATAATATTCGGCATTTATTCTGATGCCACGGTCGATTAATACGAGCGAAGAGCGACCATCGGCTATTATGGCGACCCACACCATCACACATGGCCGGCGCTTGAGTTCTGGTGGTAAGCAAACACGAAATTTTATTTGTTTACAAACTGCTGAACAACGAATGTTTTCTCATTGGAGAAAACCAAATTCGGCATTTCACCACTTTCGGCCAAGCGAAGCAACTCTTTAGCTCTTTTGAGTCTATTTTCTTTCTGTTGCGGTGTAAGTTCTTTCACTTTTTGGAATTTCAATGGCTTTACCCCGAGCTCATTTTTCAATATTTGCCGAATGGACTATTGCGATATGTTCAGCTCACGAGCCATTTTTCGGCCACTGCGACGTAGGTTTCGATCAAATCGCTTCTTTACTTTTCGAACCATTTCTGCTGATGTTTAAATTTAAATGCTGGAGTGCTCTAACGATAGCCACTTGTGGTTTTCCAGCCAAATATAAAGAAATCAGACTATTACGTTTGAATTCCATCACGTATAACTTTTGTTCTGGAAAATTCGCACCAAAATGCTTTTGTACGCTTGTAAACAATATAATTAGCTGTCACTGGAATAATTTTAACAGCTGTCGGACGAATGGCTTAGAAATGACAGCAGTCTGAAGTTGGTTGCAGTTTCTTCATCTCACCCTGTATTTCCCGTATATAACCCTGTGAGAAATGTCAAAAGACAATAACTACAGGCTTTATTATGGTGCCATCTGAAGTACTTCCATGCCAATTTACAAATCGTCCATTGAAAAGCAAAACTTCGACCTTTATTATGATTCATAAATCACTCTTATGCTATTTATTTTACTCTTTATGTACTCCAGGTTATCAAATATTCCTCTCTTTGTTTGACGCCAAAAAAAGTGAAACAACAAAACTTCATTGATGTTGTTTTTCTCTTTTTCGTTTCATGTCATTTGCTTACAATCAGAAAGTTTTCTTGTGATTTTTTCCCGCTGCTTCGTGTTTTTTCCTTTGTCATTATATTATTTGTTTAAACAAAGTTTGTCCTTCGTTTCGAAGAGGCAACAACAGAGAGTATATGTAAGTAGATAAAACAAAAGACCCACATATGTCGCCAAATGGGGTTTTGTAAAAATTGATGACAAATAAAATGATTTTAATTATTTCAAATAACAAATTTTCCCGCAATTATTCTGTTCCGTATTTTTTAGTGGCGAAAGTAACCAAAGAGCAAACTGTCAAAAATTGCTGTTATATGCTCTCGCAGAAAAAAATAGTTGAAAAAATTCGGGTAGTTTGAAGCGAGCTCGTCTGCATTGACATGATCTTTAACATAACTCCACAAACAAGTTTAAAAGCATTGAATCGCATGATCTAGGTTGCGAATTCGCCCGTCCCTCGCCTATTAATAGGTCGGTCGTTACGCAGTCTGTGTGGTATGTTGCAACGCCTTGTTGAAACCACATGTCATGGAAATCAAGCTCTTGCAATTTTGGGCAAAAATTTGGTCACGGTAGTGCTCACCATTTACAGTTACGCTATGATTCGCAGCCCATAAACCGCACCAAACTGTGACTTTTTCTCGATGTATTTGTTGCTTTTTAAGTCACTCTAAAATCGACAAATTAACTTCCAAGGCGTACTTCAAACATAAATTAGGTGTGCGTGTTATACATTTTGAAAAAAGTAAAAACTTTAAATATTTTTTATTGAAATATGAATTGTTTCCTCATTGCCTCATTGCCTCATTGCTTAAAATAATTCAAAATTTGAAATATATTTTGGCGTTTGAAAATATGTTTATTCATAAATAATTTGTTTATCGTAACTGATACAAAAACAATGCTGCCAAGTTCTTACTGTGTTACCGTTACTCAATACGGCAACATGGACAACAGCAATCATCCCAAATGATTGTTTTTGTTTACATTAATCATCTGGGTAGTAGCAGCTGATTGCAAAATACACAGCCATTAAGTACACAACTTTAACGGCGTTATCACAATTCCTTGTGACTTGGTGTTAAAGAGTCGAAGCTATCAACACGTGCAAGTTCATTTAGATGCCCAAGAGAAAAATTCAAATATATTAGTGAAATTTAAAAAAAGAAACATGAAAATATATCCTGAATTAACCAATTCGAGACCAGAATTCCGTGTAATACCCGAGGAGTTAAATGAAGTGAGTATTTCAGTGATATAATAGAAATTTAAAGATTGTTTTGCTTACCCATTCTTCATTGCAGCATTTACACGCCTTGGGAGCCCCTCATTTAGATTCATTCAATGAACTGTTGGAATATGGTTTGAAAAATATTACCAAACATCTACAGCCATGTAGTTTTCTAACGCCAGCTGGAGAAAAATTGGAAATGTATATACAAGATATACAAATAACAAGGCCGCAAGTACCATTCTCTGTTGTTGATGTTAAAGAACGTAACATCTATCCAACAGAAGCACGGCAGCTACACAAATCCTATACTGGCTTGTGTTCGATAAAAGTGGGTTGGCGTGTGGATGGCATTGAAAAGGCACCCATTGATGTTGAACTGGGTGAAATTCCAATTATGTTAAAATCGAATGCCTGTAATTTGGGTAAACTAAAGCCCGAAGAAATGGTCAAGCGTGGTGAACATGATTCCGAATGGGGTGGCATTTTCATTATAAAAGGTAATGAAAAAATCATACGTATGCTGTTGATGAGTCGTCGCAACTATCCAATTGCCATTAAGAGAAGTACCTGGAAAAATCGTGGTTCCAATTTCAGTGAATTGGGTATATTGATACGTTCCGTGAGGGAGGATGAAACATCGTACAACAATGTACTACATTATCTCAACAATGGTACCTGCAAATTTATGTTTTCCAATTTGAAATTCATGGCATATGTACCGATCTGTTTGATCATCAAATGTTTGGTTGACTACACCGATGAAGAAATCTATAGACGCTTGGTACGTGGCTATGAGGATGACCAATACTATTTGAGTTGTGTTCAACAAATGCTGCGTGATGTGCATGCCGAAGGTTTACACACATCCGGTCAATGTAAAGATTATGTTGGTCAAATCTTTAGGTCGCGATTCCCCGAGCTACCAAGTTGGAAAACAAACACTGAGGTCGCTGAATTCATTATGGACCAACGTGTTTTGGTACATCTGGAAACGAGCAAAGAAAAGTTTGATTTAATTGTTTTTATGATCCAGAAGTTGTACCAATGTGTCCAGGGAAATGCAAAAGTTGAAAATGTGGACTCAGTTATGATGCAGGAGGTGTTGACATCAGGTGAGTTTTCACGATAATCCGAAATATGTAACATACATAATCCTTTTCCATTTACTACCCTTTTAGGAAGTTTATATCAAAAATTCCTGACAGATCGCCTAGATATTTGGTTGCAGTACGCCAAAAAGACCTTGCTAAAGAAACTCAATGCTCCCGATGTTTTGGTGAATGCCAGCATCATGTCAACCGCCTTGCGTAGTTCAGGTGGTATAAGCCGAGCCATGGAATCATTTTTGGCAACAGGTAATGCACCATCTCGTAGCGGTCTGGGTCTAATGCAAAGTTCGGGCTTAGTAGTCATGGCTGAGAATATTAACCGCATGCGTTATATGTCACATTTTCGTGCTGTGCACAGAGGTTCCTTCTTTACCACCATGCGTACAACAGAGGCTCGTCAATTGCTACCAGATGCCTGGGGTTTTATTTGTCCTGTCCACACTCCTGATGGTACACCATGTGGTTTGTTAAATCACTTGACAGTTACATGTCGCATATCCACAATGCCCGATAAGAAATTGGTTGATGTAAGTATAATGAATAAATGATGTGATTGTTGCAATGTTGAATCCTTTTACTTTTTTAGAATATACCAAAAACTTTGGTTGAACTGGGTATGTTGCCTGTCGAGTCCGATTTAAAGGATCCCGCTGGCAAATTGTTTGTTGTCTTCCTAGAGGGAAAGCTTTTGGGTTATATACGCCAAGCGGATGCTGGTAAAATTGTCGATAATTTAAGGCTATTGAAAATTGAAGGCACTTTACCCGAAATGATGGAAATTGCCTATGTGCCGTATAAGAAAAAGGGACAGTTTCCTGGCCTTTATTTGTTTGTTGGACCAGCACGTCTAATGCGTCCCGTTAGAAATCTGGCTTTGAATAAAATTGAGTTCATTGGGTCCTTGGAACAAGTTTACATGGATATTGCCATAGATGCAAAAGAAATGTATCCAGGATTTACCACGCACATGGAATTGTCTAAAACAGATTTCTTAAGTAATTTGGCCAATTTGATTCCCATGCCGGATTATAACCAGTCACCACGGTAAGAATACTTCCAAAACTCCAAACATAACGATGTTAATATTGAGTGTTTTCTTTTTCAGTAATATGTACCAGTGTCAGATGGGTAAACAAACCATGGGTACACCATGTCTAAATTGGCCCAAACAGGCTGCCAACAAATTGTATCGCATACAAACACCGGGAGCACCATTATTTAGACCTGTCCATCATGATAATATACGCTTGGATGATTTTGCCATGGGCACAAATGCTATTGTTGCAGTAATTTCCTATACCGGCTATGACATGGAAGATGCCATGATTATTAATAAATCGGCCCATGAACGTGGCTTTGCTTATGGCTCGATATACAAATCGAAATTTCTAGAAATGCGTGGTACCAATTATTTTGCAAGAAATCCTAATATGCCTGAGCTAAGTAAAACCTTGGACAATGATGGTTTGCCGCATCCTGGGGCAAAATTATCATATGGAAATCCATTTTATAGGTATGTTGCTTTGACAATATTTTTAAGTTTTTCTTGAACCGTTTTGTTTTTTTTTTTTTTCTCTTTTAGTTACTTTGACACAGAAGAGTCCACCTATAAATTAGTGAAATTGGATGAAAAGGAAGATTGTGTTGTTGACAGTGTACGCTACTGCGGTAGTTTCAAGGCAACCGAACCGCGCTTGGTTTGTGTTACATTGCGTATACCACGTCCACCAACTATTGGAGATAAATTCGCCTCCCGTGCTGGTCAAAAGGGTATCTGCTCTCAAAAATATCCTGCTGAAGATTTACCTTTCTCGGAAACCGGTCTGATACCAGATATTGTCTTCAATCCTCACGGCTTCCCCTCTCGTATGACAATTGCTATGATGATCGAAACAATGGCGGGAAAAAGCGCTGCCCTGCATGGTCTTGTACATGATGCTACACCATTTAGATTTTCCGAAAAACACACGGCCATTGATTACTTTGGAAAACTATTAGAGGCTGGTGGTTATAATTATTATGGTACGGAACGTTTATATTCCGGCGTGGATGGCCGTGAAATGACTGCGGACATTTTCTTCGGCATTGTCCACTATCAACGTTTGCGTCACATGGTATTCGATAAATGGCAAGTACGTTCCACCGGTCCAGTTGATGCCATTACCCAACAACCCATCAAGGGTCGCAAACGTGGTGGTGGTGTGCGTTTTGGTGAAATGGAACGTGATGCCCTAATATCCCATGGTGCTGCATTCCTATTGCAGGATCGTCTGTTTCACAACTCAGACAAGACACATTCATTGGTCTGCAATAAGTGTGGCAGTATATTAGCGCCCTTAAAGAAAATTGTGAAACGTTCACAAAATACCGGAAAATTACATTCAGTACCGGATACATGTCGTTTGTGTGGAGATGGTTCTGGTGTGGGATACATTGAAATTCCCTGTTCGTTTAAGTATTTGGTAACAGAATTGAGTTCGGTAAATATAAATGCAAGATTTAAATTAATGGAAATTTAAGGCGAACTTGTAACAGACTATAGTTTTTAATTAGTTTATCTTAAAAAGAAATAGCTTTAAATTTAATAATAAAAAGTTGATTTTTTTTAAAAACAGTAAATGTGCTGTGTTTCATTTGAGCAAAATAGTCTAAATTAGCATAGTGAAAAAATAATTAAAATTGATTTAATGACTAAATTCAGAGAGATCGGAGTCAATTGTGAGAATTGCAATCCAAATATGTCTATCAAATTTCAAAGCTATATTTTACGAAATATATCACAAACAATCTATTTGTCCCTTTGGATACAGTCAAAACAACATAAACCCCTTAACAACGTTTGGCCTAAGAACCAGAAACTCCTTTGGGGGTTTGATCTTTAAGTCAACTTAGAGTTCTCACAACCCAAACTGAAATTATATGAAAATTGGCAGAGAATTGCAAAAAAGTTCTAAATTTTTCAGAAATAAAAAAGTTTTTTTTTATTTACAAAAACTCATGATAATTTTTCACGGTACATATTGAATATACAAATTTCTTTTGTTCAGAGACTCCCAATGAAATTTGATCTAGAGTAATTCATCTTTTGACACTTTCCCCCAAAAAAAAACGAAGTATATAGGGAGATTCGACTTCGATTGGAAACATGTTAAATGAACAGTAAAAAAGGTAAACTAAATTTTCACTACAAATACATAAATTTCACATAAATTTCGAATGCAATTTTCTTAAAAACTATTGTACCTAGATATATGGTTTATGCTGGGATATATAATGACATTTTGTGTATAGTATTTCTTCTTTCGACACCTTCTGTCTAAAACGAAATTTTATGTTACTTTCACTCGTCAAATACAAAAAAGAAAAAATTTATCAACAAATTAGGAAATATTTTTGGGACTTTGTAGGAATATTGATTTGATATTTTTTTTTAATATTCAGTGGTTATATAGATTTCCTTTTTTTGGTGGTAAAATTTGATTAGGAATATTTTTGTCTTTGATATCGTCCTACGAAAATGATGCTTTGTAGGAACTTTTTGCATAAACTTACATGAGAACGACTTTAACCCTACTAAAATATGTTTTTAATATATATGAATTCCTGGTGTTTAGGTAAGATTTAGACTTTTGATGTCTTCTAGGACCTATAGAAGAATTTCATGATAAACCATTTTTAGAATATTTTAATTCGCTACGATGCCGTTTAAAAGAGTATTTAAACATATATTCAAAAAGGACCAAAAACAGGTCATTCTTGAACGGCTTGAAGTTTAAAATTTCCGTATTTCTATCTACAATATTGCCGAAGTCCCTAAATAACTAAAATGCACGAATTCCAAGGAACCTTAATCCAAAATTGTTCAAATATTGAGCACATTTTGTGCCCTGTTGCAACACTTCTCTTTTTTTAAGATTTGTGTGAAAAATTGAAGTAAAGATGAATTTTAAACCACATTTCTTTTTTTTATAATATTTCTTTTATTATTTTTAATTATTTTTCTTCATAGTATATGACACTAAATAATGTGTTTATTTGTATTTATTTTATATGTACGTGTGTGTGTAATGTGTTTTTGTTGGGCTTTTTTTTAATGTATAATTATTCTTAGTTCTGTTTAATTTAGGTTGTGTTTTTTTTATACGATAACAAATTTATTTTACGATAGAGGCTTGTCGATCATCATTACAGGAAAGAAAAATCTTGTGAAAGGAAAAATATATTTTGTTTAAAGATTGTTTTGTTTTTCATTTATTTATAGTTTATTTCTCTGTTTAAATATTATTTTTTAATGAATTTGCAAAATACTATAAACATTTGATTTCTTGTTTTAATTTTTATTGTTTACATAAAATTAAAAATATCTGTATAAAAAGCAAAAAAAAAAAAATATATATAAAATAGGTATATATAGAACATAAAAATATTAATTGGGAGGGGAGGTATTGAAATATAAACAATAACTTTATAACATAAGAGATGGATAGTAGTAGGGGGTATAATAAGAGTATATTAAACTTTTTTGTTTTGTATATATAAATATTTAAACATTTTCGACTTTTTTGCATATGGTTCTTATTGTTGTTGTTGATGTCGTCTAATACAATATTACACTTGATGCTTTGTTAAATATAATTTAGTGTTGTTTAGTTTTTTCTTATTTTGTGTTTATATAACAAATAAATGTGGGATTATTTATATTATTTTAAATTTATATTCGTTTTTTTTTTGTTCAACAAATGGGAATTTATGTTTTTTTGTTTTAATTTCGTGAGTTATATTTTTTCAATTTTTTTTAAAGATCATTTATGTTTTTATGTTCTTTTTTTATAGAGATTTTGCAACAAATATGTTGTCAAGTTATTTGTCTAATGAGATTTGTTTCTTTTGTTTACTTTTTATGGAATTTCTTTGTTGTTTTTTTTCTTTAAATAATAAAAATTATATTTTTATCTCGTAAATAACATTAATTTTGAAACAATTTTTTTGTTGTTTTTTTTATTTTTTTTTTTGTTCTTTTTTAATTTTATTTTTTTTTTATAAATATTTTTTTCTAGTTAAATAAGTTATATAGCACACATGCCTGCTCAAAAATTTAGATACAAACGATTTGGAATAATAAATTTGAAATATATATTTTTTATTTTCTTTTCTTTCAATACTGTTGAAACCAAAATACTTTAAGAAATTTGTGTGCAACTTTAGAGCCAATGCATTTATGAATGAGGTTATGTTCATAAACCTTGTTTCTATTCTACAAAATGTATCGTGCCATTTTTGAGCCGGAATGTATGAAAATTTGTATTTCTTTTTTTATGTTTTCCAAATCTTTTAAGGTTTCTATTATAACAATTCTCGTTTTTCTATATAAACAAACAATAATATTTTCAAAATAAAAACACAAAAGAGAATGCAATAAAGGCTCCATTATTTTTATAGATAATGAATTTGAGGGGTAGAAGGGGTTTTGTTTGGTTTTCGTATTTATCTTACTTGGAAACTTATTTCTACCAGAATATTTTCATGTTTTGTTTTATTTTATTTGTAATATTAACATTAATGTATGTCTGTGGTTGTTGTTGTATTGTTTAATATATATATTTATAGTAGTATGCAACATTAGTTTTTTAAACAAAAGTATTCTTTGTTGGAATTATATCAAGTAATTCATTATTATTTTTTTACTGAAGTATAGTCCTTATGTAAATTCTATGAATTATACATTATAAACTTTTGCACATAACACACAACACCAGATATATAACTCATTTCCATATTACTTTTTAATAAAAAATATTTCGAATTTGAATTAAAAATATATCTGGTTTATTGTAGATGTAGGCGAGACGAAGACGACGACCACATAAATGACTTCTATTGGTTTGATGCGTTATTACGGCGTCACTTATTTTCTTTTTTTGCATGGAAATATATAGGGGAACTTGGGTGGTGGATCTGCCACATAACTAAAATTATTCAGAAAAATGTACAACAGAAATTTTAAGGAATTCCCAGTTTTTTGATGAGATATGTGAATGGTTTAATATTCACTTTCCTTCCATATTTGTTCGATATAAAATCATATTAGGCATGGTACAATAAAGAGGTAAAGTAAAGCTACAAGCCGGTTACAATTATTTTCTGGGTGTGCCCGACGACTTCTGCCAATTTTTGGTTGTGTCTGGTTAACCTAAAATTTGTTACAATTGTTGCAAATCGAACAAGCACCTGGACCTTATTTTATAGTTTCATAGAACAAGAATCCAGTCCTTGATTTCTTTTTTTGCTGTCAAAACTCAAAATTTACAAAAACACTTCAATTTTGACAAAAAAAAACCCAACATACCAAAATGGCTTGAGATTAATATATCCTTATTTATAAGGGTAATTCGCGTAACTTTTCCAAAAAAGAACAACTTTTATCAGTCAATTTTAAAAGAAAGAAAAAGGGTAGATTTAAAACAAGTAAGGAAAGGCTATAGTCGTGCGGGGCCGACCATGTAGGGTATCACAACAACACTACAATATGTTAAAAGCCCCCTTATGTCTAAATCCATTTTGGAAGATATCTTTTTGAACAAGGACATTTGCCCAATATTTACGCACTCCGTCAAGTAGTTAGTTGTAGTGGTCCATTTTACAGCCAAGTACAATCCAATGGTCATCCAAAATGTTAGACTTCTTCTCTGTCCTTAACTCACTTCTCAGGCAAAATTCCGTGTCGATTGGTTTCATCAATTGTGTGATCAGGAAAATGTGTCTGTTTTTGGTTCATTTTGAACCCCTAAATAATTTGCAATCATCTCAAAATGCAAAAGGCCCCTCTGTATCTCCAAAATTTAGGCACATTTATATGATTTGCTTGTCTGCGATATTTGGCTATATTCGTCAACGAAATCAGCATGACAAAGTCAGAAGTTCGCCTTCTGTGTACTTTCGATATCGCCTGTAAGTAATGCTGAAATTTTTACACAAAAGTAGTGGTCCATTCCACCCGCTGTCCTAAACTCTAACTTAATTCGAGATTTCGTGTCATTTTCATTCTATTTATAACGGCTGCAAATCAAAACATTTTAATTTTTTGGTCCATTTCAACTCCTAAATATATTGCGGACATTTTTAAAAACAATATACTGGCTCCTGCCCAGCCCTAAGATCTAGGCCCATGCTAACTTCCGCGTCGATTGGTCTATAATTGCGACCTGTAGAGCAACTACAAAATCAGGAAATTGTTCAGTTTTTGGTCCATTTCAACCCCTAAATATTATGCGATCATCTCCAAAAGCAATAGGCTTCTATTCTGGCCCAATCGTAAAGATCGGGCCATAATTGCGTCCTGAAGAATGATTACAAATTAACATGGACAGACGGGCGGACGGACATTCATTGCTAGATCGACTCAGCTCAGCGAGATAGGAAGATCCATATATACTTTCCCATGTGGGGTACCAATATTTCGAGGTGTTGCATAATTTTTGGCCCAATCAAACTTATAATACCCCAATATGAAAATGTGATACATAAGTGTTTCTCAAGCCTTGTTAAAATAGTTTTTATAATATAATATTATTCTCAGGCTGTTTTGTCGTTAAATTCATTTTCGGTATGTTGGGATTTGTGCACAATCATCGAATTGTAAAATTTCGAAAAGAAAACAATCTTTTTTTGAAGGATTTCACGCAGGAAAACTTTGACAGCAAGAGAAGACTTAGGCTTTAATTCGCCTCCTGTGTCATCTTATTAAATAGGCCCATGCCTAGCAGATATATCTTGTTCCAAACCCCAGAACAAAGAACGATTTTTCTATTTTTGATTTTATATGGAAAAAATATTTAGAAAATATACGTTTAGAAACTTCATCAGACAGATCTTTGTTTATTAAAATAAACGCAAAGCCCTGTTTCATTCAAAGTTCCTTTCATTCTTTTTATAAGAAATTTCGAGTATTCTTTTTGGAAAGGACAAAATTAGATAGATTTTTTATATCTTTATACAGTTTTTCATTTTTTTAGGTGATCGGTTATCTAATCTATCTTTCTTTCTTTTTTAGGGGCGAGAAAAGGATTTGCATTTGGTAAGTTTAGTTTTACATTTCGAGCAATTAATTTACTTAGTTACTTTTTCTTGTCTATTACTTAATATTATAAGTTCATTGTATGTATTGATCGCCAGAGTAATATGACAAGAAACGAACAAAATACAAGGTGAGGGTTTTTTTTTTCATACGTGGAAAATTTTAAAATTGGAAAATGGTTGTGAGGGGGTAGGGGGGTGTTGCAAGAAAAAAACTACATAAAGAGCTTGTGCAGTTAACTAATGTGGAAAATTTGGGGAGAGAGAGGAAATTTGAGCAAAACAAAAATTAAAACCACTAAATCATGTTTAGGAAAAATATCTAAATTCTTATATTTGTTTGATTTGTGTATTTTATATATTTTTTAAAATACTTATGTGTATGTGTTTTCTGAGAAAAACAAATGAACAAAATTCTTTCCTTTTTTTAAGTTTTGCTTAAAAAGAATGCAAGCTTATCTATATTCTTTTTCATCTTTTTATAACATTAACATATAGGTTTATTACTTTTCAATTAAAGGGGGTATCTCTTTTTTTAAATTTAACTATGAATTTTTCGCTTATCTTTTTCTCAACTTTTGGTTTTTTTGTTCTTTTTATAAGATTATGATTTAGTTTTGTAATGTATGTTCTTTTTTTTGTATATTTCCTTTGAGAATAATCTTGGTATATATATATTTGTTTTGTATATATTTATAAAACGAAAATCGTCGTTGCATTTCTCTTATGCCGTTTAATAGAGCCTAAATAAAAGACATTTTGTATTTACCATTTTTTAAAATTGGTCTGTTAGTATATCGCAAATTTCTCTTGTAACACTTTCTTTGCTGGCACGTATTGTTAGACGGAACATCTGTAAAATATGGCAAAATTAAACAAAGAAAATAATGATTATTGTTATTTACTAGTCGCAATTTGTATTAGGCAAGTTTACTTGCGGCGTCAGGGTTCTCTTTGTAGGAGTGTGAGATAAGGGAAATGGAAAAAATTGCTAGTACTGGATTTTTTGGAAATTCCTTCTGTGTCTCGATTTTTATGTCGAAACAAGTTGTAGAATATTAATCGTTGTCCAGCAGTCTCTAAACAAACAAACTGAACGTGTTTACTTGCAAAAGAGGTCAGCTGAAAGTGTGCACCTTCGGTTGGCCACCAGGACTCAAGCGCCGGTCATGGTGATGGTGTGGGCCGCCGATAACATTCGATGGTCGCTCTCCCCTCGTATTAATCGACCGTGGCATCAGAATAAATGTCAAATATTATCGCGAAAACATTCTGGGGTGTATTAAAGCCTTGGGCACGCAAACATTTTGGCCGCAGACCTTGGACATTTCTACAGGACTAGGCACGCGCCACCCAAGAATGGTTTCAAAATGAGGTTTCTCGCTTCATTTCCAGCGCACAATGGTCACCAAAATCTCCGGATACCAATCCGTTGGTGTATTGTGTCTCGAGTATTTTGGAAAGCAAGGTTACCAAAGTGTCGAAGGCCATAATTCGTGCCAATTCGAACAAATTTAAACTTATTCTAAAATTTGATGCTATTTCCGACATGTTGTGCTCTCATTCAAATACGAAATATTCCATATTTTTTCATCTCAAACCAGATCTCGTGTTGTGTCTAATTTGCACAGGATCGGATACTTACTTTGCATTTTATGATCGTTTTGGTTATTTTAAATGTTGACCTCTCTGTGGGGGAGTTACCAGAAGGATTGGTCCGAAATATTGCACCTTCACACTATACCTTGTGTTGATAGAAATATTGGTATGTGTAAAGTTTAAAAAACCGGATGATTATTAAGCATTTTATGATCGTTTTGACTGTGTGGGGGAGGTACCAGAAGGAGTGGTCTAAAAAGTTGCATCTTCACACCAGATTTTGTATTGGTAGCAATATTGGCTTGAGTAAAATTTGAAAAGAATCTGATGCTTATTTCACAATTTATAAGCATTTTGGTTATTCAATATGTTGACCCTTCGTAGTAGAGGTGGCAGTAGGAGTGGACCGATATTGCCCATTTCCGAACTCAATCTAAGTTTGATAATAATATTACGATGTACGAAGAATGAACAAAATCGGATACTCCCTTCTAGAGAACAGATAGGTAGACATACACCGCTATATCGACTCCAAAAGTCCTGAAACAGATTTCATCCAAAGATATCTACGTCTAAAGCCATCATTCCTCAATGAGGCAAGTTTTGACCTTGTCCAGTGATATATACCCTCTGTGGGTATAATAAATAAGAACATCAAAAGGGCAATACTGAAAAACCACAATTTCCCGGAAACAAATTCCCTTTTATAAATACAAGAGTCAAGAAGTTGAAAAGAGAACCATAAAAATTAACGCAAGTAAACTCGCCTAGACTAACTCTATTTTCACTACAAAAGTGGAATAAAAAAATATTAATTTTTTATTAAAGCTCCATACCTGTGCTTGCTTGTTGGGTTCCAGTCTTAGTAAACAACCAACTTGTTGTGACTGTGTGTGTATAATACCCGCACATACCATATTGTCTGGATTGGGATCAACATTATCGAGCAATTGCATACCAAAGCCCATGAGTTTATTACGGGCACCGGGTAAATCTAAAGGCTGTTGAGCTTTGAAAACCTTTTGGGCTCTTTGCTGTTCACTGGAATAGAGAGTAATTTTGTGTAATTTTTTATTTATTTATATTTTTGTATGATTTTCATTTCTTGTTGCAACTTACCCGCTCAAATTCTTCCATCGTGCAAAGAATGAATCGGCATTCATTTCCGTTGGCTCAAAGAACTTATTAATGGTCAATGGCAGCTTGATGCTGAATTTCTGTTGAACACCATTGTAACGGAAATTCACCTCAATTGTGGGTGAATCTGCATAGTCTTCTATACATTCGGCCGTTAACAATTGTTGGATTTGTGCACCGGCTTCTAAGGTGGGCTCAACAGGTTTCATTTGAACATTTAATTTTAAAGCATTTTCCGGCTCCCATTGTAAGACGGGTGTGAAATTCTAAATTACAGGAAATGTAAATTAGCAAATACTCTAAGTATCTAATAAATCTTGTTATGCTCACTGTTAGGGGAATTTGTGTTTTGTTGCCATAGAATAAACCTAAACGTCCCAAATTCTGTCGGAATTCACTTTTAACGCCAATTTGTAGCATTTCATTTTCAAACAAAACACCATTGTTCTTGAAAAGGAACTTTTTGGTATTATAGATTGCTGTGTTGTTATTGGCACTGCCATAGATATCGCCCAGGACATCAATTAATGTGCCACTGCTGTTGTTGACCGCATTATTGGCCGGTGGTGTGCTAAGGCCCAACAAATCGGCATTGGCATTGCTGTTAACTCTGCAAAACCGGAAATTACAATTAAATCAATTTCATAGTTACCTCCTAAAGAAGTAGAGACTTACTTATGATTAGTAGCAGCATGAGTATTATTCTGTACAGCCGCCGGTGCTGGACTCTTCGATTCACGTATCTCATTTTCTGGTACCCGACCAGGTTTCTTCTTCTTCAACACGGCCAATATGGAACTTTCCCTTTCGGGGAATGAGGGCATTTCTTCCAACACTGTAGCCAGTACATCTGTGGATGCCACAATACTCAATTGTAGATATTCACTTGCCCGCTGTTGCAGTTCGGCATCGGCCGAACGCAAATTACTGTGTTGACGGAATACTTCTTGTATGTTGGTACGTATCTCAGGGAATAGATTAATGAATTTGATATAGGTGGACAGCAAGAGAGCCCTTGTCATGGGTGAACATAAGTGATATTTAGAATGCAAGAGCTTGAATTGCACTAGGGGTGCTGAACGTGAATCGCCGGCAATTAAATTACCAAATTCACCCAATATATAGCCACCAACTTTGACCATATTTTCGTGGCAAGCAGGTGCTTGCAGAGCTTCAAAGACAGTCTTGGCAGCATAACCCTGGACCTCTTCACGATTGATGACAATTTGTATGACACGATACCAAACCTCTTCCGATACATAGTCACCGGCAATACGAATGAGATTTAAAATGACATCAACGTACCTATGGGGAAGAGAGAAGGAAATAGCTGGTTTAGGTCTTTAATGGTGGGGGTTTCAAACTGTCCTTACCATGTGAAATCGGTGGCATATTTTTCAGCTAAAATGGCCACCTTAAGGACCATTTCCTCGCGTATGGAATAATCAGCGGTTTCCAAATAATTTAACATTTCCTGTACAATTTCCTCAGCATTGCTGCGATCGCACATGGCATACAGCAAATCAACGGCCATTTGGCGTACGGAAACATCTTTTTCCATCTGAAATTAGACAAAAAGTTTAACTTTATTTTAATATTCAATTAAATATTAAATTTTTAACCAAACCATTACCTTCATGGAGAGAATGACTACTTCTTGATGTTTCTTAACTTCTTCGTGTGAAAATTCCGATGTGGCCAAATGGCACATCGACTCCAAGGCCAAGTAACGTAAATTCGTTTCACGATTACTTAAAAATTGACCCAATTGATTGCAGGCACGCACCAACAAATTGGGTTCACTGTCACTGTGTATAATGAGATTGATCGCTTCGAAGAGCACAGCGTTTTTAGCATTTGAATGCTGGACTTTTTTACTCTTTGGCGGCTCTTGAGCCTTATTCAAAATTGTCTCAAGTGTTTCATTTAAACGTGCCCGAACGCCTGGTTCTTCTGTTACAGGATTATAGTTTTGCAATAAACGTAAGAGTTTGACCGACAGCCATGGGGCCGGAACAAAATAATAAGTATAATCCTGTAAATCAGTATAACTAGCGGTAACAATACGTGACAAACGAGAAACAGCTAAATTGACGCAACCCTTATATTCGTCGGGATTACGTTTGACCAAAGCATCAATCAACGAAGTGGCAGCCGTGACAACACCCATATGCTGGTCATTCAACAAATGAATAATGCGTGAAGTCCATTCGCCGCCAGGAATGATGTCGGGACTTGAACGGAACAAACGTAAAAGACAAAGAGCAGCTGATTGTTTTACAACATCCATGGTGTCTCTGAAAGTAGGATAAGAAAACATTGGCATAAAAATGTATAATGTTTGCAAGGATCTATCAGTATACATACCCTGATACCAACAACTTTGGTATTTCATTGGAGAACGATTCGGCCATGTCGCGGCTGCCAATATTGGCAATGCATTGCAAAGCCAAATTAACATGCACAGGATTACGGGATTGTAGATCATTTTTAATGGATTGTATAATCAAGCGTATCAAATCGCTGTTTGTGTTAACCAAAACCGATATGAACAAGTAACCCTAAAAAATATGAAAAATAAAATATGTTTTATTTTATCAAGTTAATATTAGATATTTACTTACAATTTGTTTTTCGGAATATTTATTCGATGACAGCAAATTAACCGCCTCCATATGACCAAAATCAATGTCATGCCCCAGCAGAAATATGAACAACAATTTACACACATATTTCTTTTTCTGATACCCATCTAACGTTTTGTCACCTTTAAATTTGCTACGTATATTGGCTAACTCTTTATTGATTCTTTTTACTTCCGCTTCTTTACTTTTACCTGTAATACAAAAAAGAAAAAATAAGAGAGATACAAACAAACACACGCATATTAAAAATTGTCGTCGGATACCGAGAGGAAAGAGTTGTTAAGAAATTGCTTTATGATTATTAAATTATGGCGGAAGAAAACTTGATTTTGTCATGTAAAACGACCTGTTATGTTTGTTTATATGTACACACTTTGCCGGAAGCTTTATTAATTTTGATTTCGAAAAGGAAGGTGAATGAATGGATGGATATCTACACCGATGTTGTCAAGGTGGTCCAGGATTTGACATTTCTAACTCACTTTATATGGGAAAGTTCATGATTTGTTATTTGGTCCCCTGAAATGGCATTCATTTTAATTTCGCAGAGAGAGAGTTAACAAAATTTCCGTTAAGGATATAACCGCAAGCTTTTCAAAACATTGTGAATAAACTAACAAATTCACGAATTCTGGAGTATTTTGGAAAGCAAGGTTGGCACTAAAAAATACCAAAGCAAGCGCTTCGCCGGGAATGGACCAAAATACCGCAGAGCAACATTCGGGCAGCGTGTGTCGGTTTCATTGACCGTTTGAAGGCCATAAGTCGTGGCAAATGTGAACAAATCTAAACTTATTCTAAAATTTGATGGTATTTCCAACATTTTTTGCTTTCATTCAATAGAAATTAAAAGGTAATGTAAAATGTAAATGCAAAAATTATGACGTTTGACTTTGTCGCAGTTTTCTTACCTTACCAGACCAGATGTGCGACGATTCTATAACTCATTTTTTGAGTTACCGACAATATTCGTGAAAATTAAAATTCTTATAATTTCGGTATTTAACGAAATCTTTCGGTAAGTTAGCGACGGAATCAAAGTATTCGCTAAGACCTACCGATAGATTCCAATGTTGCAAAGTTAATTTCCTTTTAATATCAACATTTTGGGTTTCAAATTTATCGATTTTTGTCAGTAACTCAAAAAATGAGTTAGAGAATCCCACTACATTTCTAACCCACTTTACATGGGAAAGATTTTATTTTCGCTAAGAGAATTAAAAAAACCCTCCATAAAGGTTATAGCCGCAAGAATTTCGAAACATTATAAACAAACCAAAAAAACTATATTTATGAAGAATAATTTGAGGAATTTCAAAAAATGTTTTTTGAACTAAGTTTTTTTCTATCCAGCAATTTGTCATTGTCAAGGATAATTTATGAACTTTTAAAACTGTATTAGAGGGCTTTAGAAGAAATGTTTAGAGGACTGTCTAAGCTGAGTCTGAGTGAAATGACACTAAGGGAATTCATAATTTTTATACCCTCCACCATGGTATGCAGGGTATATTAAGTTTATCACAGCGTATATATATTCTTGATCAGCATAAAATTCTATGTCGATTTAGAGATGTCCGTCCGTCTGTGGAAATCACTCTAGCTTCCGAACGAAATGAAGTAGGTTAATATAACTTTACTCAAATATATATAATGTCTGCAGGACTTTTGGTATTGAAAGTGGGCCATGTAGGTCCACGTTTTGGTATAGCCTCCATATAACGGTACCTCCCGATATTCGGTATTTTGATGATTTTAGTGACATTATTCACTGGAAATGTATCAAATTTGATATTTGAAGTTCATAATGGATACTACAGTCTAAGACAAAAAATTGTCTGTGCAAGTCCACGTATTCGAATAGCCCCCATATAATTGTTCCTCCCTATTTTCGGTATTTTGGTGATTTAAGCGACATTATTCACTGGAAATGTTTCAAATCTTGCATTTGAAGTTCGTAATAGATACTACAGTCTAAGACAAAAAATTGTGCGTGCAGGTCCACGCCTTCGTTTAGCCCCCATATAACGGTACCTCCCTATATTCGGACTTTTGGTATTGAAAGTGGGCCATGTAGGTCCACGTCTTCGTATAGCCCCCCTACAACGCACCTCCCGATATTCGGTAGTTTTATGATTTTAGTGACATTATTCTCCGGAATTGTTTCAAATTTGGTATTTGAAGTTAGTAATGGATACTACAGCCTATAACCGAAAATTGTCTGTGCAGGTCCACGTCTTCGTATAACCTCGTATTTTGATGATTTTAGCGACATTATTCACCGGAAATGTTTTAAATTTAGTATTTGAAGTTCGTAATGGATACTAGAGCTTTAGAATCATGGACTCAAAACTTTTTGTAATCAGTGGGGGAAAATGTAATCCAAATTTACTAAAGTACAACAAAAGCAACGAAAAAAATTGTCATGTTTTTCTTATCAATTCGCTGTAAACTGCAGGCAATGCATTTTGTTTCATGCATATTTGAGGTCATTGGACATAGAAATGAATATTAAAATAAATATTCATGAAATATTAACAATGAATGTTTTCGATTTTTGTTTTTGTAAAAATATAAGAATATGTGATGAAAGAGCAAAAATGCAATGATATGAAACGAATGTAAAAAATTTTGAGTATTTGAAAATAATAAAAAAAATAAATAATAAATTATTGAAAAACAAGTCGTGCTAGCGTTATTTGAAAATTTTCTACTTTTCAAACCTCTTACTGGTCACTTATTTTTATTCAAATGGACTTACAATATTTCCTCTCTAAAGCTATGCTTTCAACATTTATGGACAAAACAAAAAAACCTATCGAGATTATCATTATGTGAATGTGTCAAGCGCCAATGAGCATGAGTGTGGCTGTCACCAGCAAACTACAAAAAATCTATATATACATATAAAATATAAATTTCACACAATGTCGATAAAAAGCCAATGAGCTTAACAAATTCCTCACATTGTTGCAACAAAATAAACTCTACAAAATTGGTCCACACAAACTTTTTTTGAAATACGACGCGGACTGCATCAAATCCTAATATCTATTTTTGTATCATTTATTAGTTAGGCCATTTGTCAGTTTTAGTAAATGTTACTGCTTGTAGTATTGTGTTGCGGTATAGAAAAAACTACGACCAACGACTTTTGCCACCAACCAACCAAACACTCTGGCCTGTCTATCATCATACTGGGTTTTTGGGGGGAAATAAATAAAACTCAGCTTAAAAATTGACGCCCCTATAATTTAATAAACATTTTATTCAATTATAAATAAATGCCTAAAAGCTGTAGTGATTTCAATTTATCACAACAGTTAATGTAATAATTTTACATCATGTGCTCTGAATGTGGGCACATCGTGTCGTGACCCGCCGGCGCATTCTTTAAGGAATTTTCATCAATATGCCACTCATCATCGTTGGACAGTGGATTGTGGAATGGGAGGGTTGGAATTATTATGTTGGCGATGTGTTACATCCCTACCATTTATCAACTCGTAAACCACTTGATAAAAGGAACATAATCTGTTTACGACACTTGAACTTTAAGTATGGCTGCCTGATTTTTTTGAAGTTGGATTCTACAACGATGGTAACTGTTTGTTGTTGTAGCAGTAACATATGTAAGGTGTTTAAAATCTGATTATAAATAATTCTGTTTCAACATCCAGATATAAGAAATTAGCTATTGGTGTCATCCTGAATATAATTGCTCCAAAAGTACCCTGATTTGTCTTTTCAGACTGCAATGGATAGGAAGGTGGTCTCCAACGACGGTATTCTCACTGTAGTGGTTGACTACATCGGTGACTGCATCCGCATGAACCTGACCTGCCTGATAGTCTTCTTGATCTAGAGGCTCTCTCTTATATATTTGGACCTTCCTTTCTCAATTCATCACACGCCAGGGAGTTTTAGTTTTAGTAGGTCTGAATACTTCTAGTTCTGCATGGCGTTGCATTAGTGTTCACAGACACCATTTAACCCGCATCCCTGACTACAGGCCACCTGCGTAAATACAGGATGAGATGGGAAACTGCAACCAACTTCAGACTGCTGTCATTTCTAAGTCACTCCTCCGACAACTGTTAAAATTATTACAATGGCATCTCATTATATTGTTTACAACCGTACAAAAGCATTTTGGTGAGAATTTTCCAGAAAAAAAGTTATTCGTGATTGAATTCAAGCGTTATAGTATGATTTCTTTATATTTGGCTGGAAAACCACAAGTGGCTATCGTTAGAGCACTCCAGTATTTAAATGTGAATAAGTCTTTTGTGTCTCGCACCATCGCTCGTAGCTGGCAACGTAGCTCGACGTCAAGGAATTGGATGGAAGAAAACAGCAACATCAGCAGAAATGGTTCGAAAAGTAAAGAAGCGACTTGATCGAAACCCACAATATTCCATTCGGCAAATATTGAAAATGAGCTCAGGATAAAGCCATTGAAATTCCAAAAAGTGCAAGACTTACACTGCATCAGAAAGAAAATAGACTCAAAAGAGTTGCTTCGCTTGGCCGAAAGTGTTGAACTGCCGAATTTGGTTTTCTCCGATAAGAAAACATTCGTTGTCCAGCAGTTTGTGAAAAAACAAAATGATCGTATTTACTTGCCAAAGAGGTCAGCTGAAAATGTGCACCTTCAGTTGGCCACCAGAACTTAAGCGCCGGACATGGTGATTGTGTGGGAGCCGCCATAACAGCTGATGGTCGCTCTCCGCTCGTATCAGAATAAATGCCGAATATTATCGCGAAAATATTCTGGAGGGTGTATTTAAGCCTATGGCACGCAAACATTTTGGCCGCAGACCTTGGACATTCCAACAGGACTCAGCACGCGCCGCCCAAGATTGGTTACAAAATGAGGTTCCTCGCTTCATTTCCAGAGCACAATGGCCACCAAAATCTCCGGATACCAATCCGTTGGACTATTGTATCTTGAGTATTTTGGGAAAGCAAGGTTGGCACTAAAAAATACCAAAGTGTCGATCACCTCAAGCAAGCGCTTCGCCGGGAATGTGCCAAAATACCGCAGAGCAACATTCGGGCAGCGTGTGAGTTTTCAAAGCCATAATTCGTGCCAAAGGTGACTAATTCGAACAAATTTAAACTTATTTTAAAATTTGATGTTATTTCCGACATATTTTGCTTTCATTCAAAGAAATTAAAAAAGGAAAAATTATGGCGCCTGGCTTTGCTGCAGATTTTTTTATCTCACTCTGTACACCTGTTGTTTTCTTTTCATTATTTTGAAGTTTGGTTCTGGGGGTAACAAAAGACAAACGCAGCGTAATTTTAGTTCTTTCTTAACTTTTTAAAAATAAATAGATTTGAAAATCCACAACAAAAACATTCATAATCATTGGTTTATACCTCATATTTTCTGTAGCCTTTCGAATTGTTTAACAAAAAATAGCTTTGGAAATTGATTAATTATATAAACAAATCGCTTCACAATATAAAATCCAAATGGTTTCCAGACGAACGTGACATCTTAGTAGATTTTCATAAATTGTTGATATTGTTAAAAAAATATATACGTATGAAATTTTTGTTTACTTACAGTTTCTTATGTCTGATATAAAAACCGCCAGACCGCGCATACCATCTCCCCGCACAGGTGCCATTGTTGTTAGTTTGTTAATTTTTAAAGTTTTTTAAAAACTTGTTGACGAAGAAAAACGACGCTTTTGGTTTTTTAACAACTATAAAATATAGTTGTTAAAAAACGGATGTTAATCCTTGTTTATTTGCCGTTTTAAACTCTCCTTTTTTAGGGGAGAGTTTAAAATGTTTGGGTTTTATTCACAGCAGCAGCCGATTCGGCGATTCGAGTCAAGATGACCGCAGCAGCAACAGCAGCAGCAAAATTAGTAGAAGACGAAAGACAGACAGGAGATGTTCTAAATTGAAATTGCTTGATTGTGTAGTAGATGCAGTGGCAATCACACTACTGGCACCAAGTCATTCAAATGAGTACAACAGCAAGAACAATTATAATGTGAAACAACAACAGTAACAAGTTTGTTTTTTTTTCGTTCTGCTCGCTGTGTTATTGTTGTCGTTGTATGGTTGCTGTTTTTTTTATTTACTTTGTGTTATTTACACAAATCTTTCTTTTTTTCGTTCACAAAACCGGCATATAAACAGTTGAGGAATACAAATGTACTGTGTATGTCCAAACACCGATTAATGTTGGAAAAAATCACTCGATTCGTTCTTCAATTGAGACTGATTGCTTTAAAGTGTTTGATAGAACGACAGAGATGCTGCTCAGAATTCTGGTGTCAATACTCGCTCGCAACAGATGTTGTTGTAGTCGTCGTCGTCGGTGGCGTCGGCGTCGTCTTCGGTCGTAGAGCTTATGTATTTTTTAGCTAGATAATTTATATTTATGTACGTCCGTCGATACGTTTAGACTTTTTGTGACCTGCAAAACAAACAAAAAATTAATTAGTACATATTGCCAAAATTATCAAACAATAAAATTGTTTTCGAACAAAAAAAAACAAAACCAAGTAAATTGCAACAAAAATGGATCTAGAGGCGTTGTTTTTACACTTTTGCTGTTGTTTTGCTGAATTGTTCAATGTTTTATCAACACAAAAAATTATATACTTTCATGTTGAAAACCCAACCAAATCTCCACAATATTTAGCAACACTTTCCCCTTTTGTTGTTGTATTGCATACATATCTCAATAAAATGTAGTATGTGTTTTTTTTTTTTTTTTTTCTTATCATAAAAAATATAAACAGACTTCGACGACATGTACTAATAACCAGTGGAGGAAGCGAAAAAATCCGCACAAATCAAATAACAAAGAATTTTATTTAGGAATTAACGACAACCAACAGCAACCGGCAATGAAAGAAGAGAAAAATATTTAAATGAATGAAAAGTGGACAGTACTTTTTATTTTGAATTGAATTGAGAAAAGTAATTTTGATTTTGAGACTCATTACATGTACACAATGCATAAATCGGCATAATTTGTAATTCTTGTCAGGGAGCACACACAAAAGAAAGCAGAAGGAAAAGGAGGCGTATACCAAAGGTAAAAGTGCCATTAAAAATGTCATGTGTTTTCAGATTAATTATCAAGACATCCTTACTTCAAGGAATTTAGAATGGTGCACATAGATTGGAATAGTATAGCCTCTATATTTTACTTTTTGAGACGTTGTCGCTATTTTATGTCCTTCATCATAGTATGGAGGGTACAGTAAGTTTGTCATCCCGTTTGTAACACCTCCAAATATACATTTTAGACCTAATATGGAGTATATATTCGTGATCAGCAGAAATTTGCATGTCCTTCTGTCCGTCTGTGGAAATCAGTAGGTTGATACAATTTTACACAGATGTGTTTTAGGAATTTTTGGCATGGATCCACGTTTTGGTACCACTCTACCGAACTTGTCGTAAATTGGCAGATTGATATCCCAGTATGTAGGAAACATCCTGACACAGGGCTGTTTTGGTATAGTCCCCATTTGGAAATGTCTCAAATTTCGTATTTGGATTCTGTAATGGATACTAACTCCTATGACAGAAAATTGCCTATACAGGTTCACATCTTCGTATAGCCCCATGTAACAGTACCTCACTATATTCGATATTTTAATTATTGTAATTACATTTTTCAAAAGAATTATCCTAAATTTGGTATTTGGAGTTCATAACAGACACCGCCTTCTTTAGCAGATAATGTACTGTAGGGCCCACATATAACATTCCCTCTCTATATTCGATATTTTGATGCATTTAGCCACTTTTCAGCAGATTTATTTGAAATTTGTTTGTTTGAAGGAGGCCTTACAAAAAAACAGGTGGTGGAAGAATTGAATCCGAATGACCTACCGCAAGTCAGAATTTTCGGTGAATGGGCTCTTGGAAAGTTGTCCGAGATCCTCTTTTTATAGAAAAAATGTGTTCAGCGATGAAGTTCATGTTTGGCTCAAGTATAAACCAAAAGCAATGCAAAAGCTATCAGTATGGTGCGGTTTATGGTGCATTATTGGACCATACTGCTTGAAAGAAAGTGCAAGTCGTAACGTAACTGTTTAACTTCGCTGTCGAGAGATGACATCCAAATTTTTCCCAAAATACTGTTTTTTTAGACGTGCTCACTTCAATTGACGCATTGGAATACAACAATGATGCCTTTAACTGTGAGATATCGGTCGTTGAAAATTGTTTTTGTTTTTTATTCATTACTTAAGCTACTTATTTGATCCTTTATTTGGGACGTATCAAATACAGTAGGTACCTTGACTACAAGCACCAGGAACACTGTTGGCTACGAGGTCGCATAACATCCAAGTTTCAGGTTCAAATATCGTTTCGGACATTGAAAAAAATAATGAGTCGATGTCGAGGTTTGCCAAAAAACAAGATAAAAAATGTAAAGGAAGCTTTCAAAATAAATTAAATTCAAAAATGTTTTTTTATTAAAATTAGCTCCACGTTAGACATAGGGTTGGGAAATATATATATGGTCCATGTCACAACCAGTAAGGTAGTTTAACTTCAAAGGAACAGACCAACTTGTTTTGTTTATATTTTGAAATTGAGGAAAAACCACAAAAAATGACTAGAATGTTGGGTTTATTCCACAAAATTGAATCAAAGGTAGAGAGAGAATATTGTTTTATCCCAATGCTGTAAAAATGTCCAAAAAATCAAATCTTCTAAATAATGGAATTATATAGTTATGGTTATATACCATCCTCCTAGGTTACTGTCAACTCATGGATCAGAAAAATTGATATATTCATTTGAAGAGGTTTCCCGGAAAAGGTACTCCCGTAAGTCGTAAAATGAAAAATTTGTTTTTTCTTCATTATTCTGCTTCGCACTATGCCAGTGCAACTATTATATAGACCCTCCGTTTCACTTCTGAATAGTTCACAATGTGTTACTTTCCGGGGTTATCTGTTTCTGACGGAGATTGCCAGTATATTTTGGGGGCTTAACTTCTATTTTAAGCCTGGTGTATTAGTAAATATTATGTTTTTACGCAGCACGAGTCCTTGTTTCTTATCAAAGAAATATTGATTTCAAATCGGAAATGTCATAAATCTACAATGTATTCCCATGTCATATTGTTGAAAACACTTCTTCCAAATATAGAGAGATATATAATGATTCATATTTCAAAACATTCCACATTATGATTATGACAAAAACAAAAAATGACAAAAGGATATAACATCTATTAAATGTCTACAATGCATAACATTCCTCAACGTGTTCATTGTTATCCTTTACATGTCATACCACAACACCCCCCTCCGCCCCCATATCGTATAAAACGCCATCTACAACTCATTATTAGCTCTTGCATACAAGAACTTTTTTCACAGACGTCGCAGCGGCGTTGACGTTTGCGTTTGAGGGCAATGGATAGCATGGATGGCGCTGCTGCTGGCTTTTTGTCAAACAAATGACGATGACCACGAAGTCAAGTGAAAAAAAAAAAAAAAAACAAAATATGAAGACTTTATAAACTGTGAAATAATGTAGTAGCTGGAGTTGAAATTTATCTCTGTGCACATCCATACAAACACACGCACGTCATCACCATCATACACAATATAAATGTCAGTTTATGATAACAAACATATTTATTTCTTAAAATTATTACATTGAACCACACATTTGCCCCTAAGCGTTTAAGTCACAATATTCGATTTATTGATCCTCCCACCATATTCATTATTTTCTTATTTTTTCTTATTATTTTTAGCTTCTGGGTCAATTCTCCTTCGACTCTTTTTCTTCAATAGTAATCCATTAATTTCAAAGAAATAAGATTTAATTTGCATTCAAATTATTAAAATCTTCATAGATATTATGTTTCACAATCGGCCACTAGAAAACATTTTAATAATTTATCTATTTTTTCATTGGTTTTCTATTTTTTTTTTTCACTTTTTCTCATTACCGTTTTTGTGTAACAACTTTTGTACTATTGTATGTGGAACGCTGCTGCTCGGCTTAAATTGAATTCCAACAGGGCACACTAAACAAGGTGTGTCAAATGTCATAAACAAAATTCAAACATTTCGGCAACACTGATAATTGCCTGAAGCCTAAACAGCTTTAAACAAATATAGGCAATATAATGTTAATTAGCAAGGAAATTGATAAAACATTTATTGTAAAAAATTACTCAGAATATGTATATACTATGAAACAGGTTATCACCAAATCAATGACTTTTGACATTTAGTTCATTACTAGAACAGCTGTTTACTCTTAGTTGTCGTTATTAGTGGACCCTATATTCCTTCCAGCACTTGCGTACACCCAATTAACAGACACTCATTCACATACACACACAAACGCACTTATACAAAAATTTAATTTTCACCTCCTATATTTTTCTAATTTTTTTCTTCTTTTTTCGTAGCAAATGAATAGCTGAATGTTTGGTCCAAGAGTAACTCACTTTATTTATTAATTATTTTATTATAATTCACAAATAATTTAGCACTAGCCACGACAGAATGTTGTTTTCAACAAAGAAATTCGTCGAAATCGCCAAATCTACACCGCAAAATTTTCTCCTGTTTGACAGTAGACGATTATTCTAGTTTTCTTAATCATTTCATGACTATCGAATAATCATTTACTCCAGTTATTCCATTCCACAGCTAAATATTTTTAGCTCTACAGCGTAAGAACCATTGAACGCATGACGTACGTTGATTCTTCGTACACGTTATACGTTTGATTTCAAGATTTCTGACATTTTCCTAAATTCTTAGTTTCTTTGCAGTGGCACTCCTGCCAGTTCCTTATTAGGCAATAATCAAATGACAATATTATAAATATTTTCATAACATTGTTCTAATTAATTACTTTAATTATATGTCAAAAGATATATAAATGACAACGAAGAGCGTTTTAAGTTGAAGGAAGAACAATGTTACGTTATTTCAACTATTAAGTGTGTAAAAAACAGGTTTCCATCCAGGTGCTTAAAGAACAGGTTTCCATCCTTTTATACCTATTAGGTTATATATTTGTTTTTTTTTTTTTTTTTTTTTTCAATGAAGTTAAATTTTAAATATTAAGAACCACTACCTCTTTAATTCTGCAACATTATATACAAGGCGCAAATGTGTGAGTACATAAGCAGCTTGTCATCATAGAATTCGAGTGCGGCTTAGCATCCCTTAATGATATGTCACAAAATATGTCATGCGAAGTTTTCAAGCTGCTTATATACAAAAACCTTAAGTAATTCTAAAGAATGCCTTGCTGCGGAACCTGCAAGAATGTACTATATTTTAGGAATATTACAAAGGAAAACTCGGTTATTATATTAATAATTTTCATTCTACATTCGTGCAGTTCTGGAACGTACCATTCCTGTTCGCATTATTTCAGTTTGTCTACGCCATTTTCAATGCTCAAGTACAATTCAAAGCGTAAGACGTATGACTTGTGCGATTTAGTTTGACATGCAATGGTCAAGTAATGTTGCGTGCGATGCGTGTGAATGAAGACATATTTTGTCATTTCTCCCCGATTTGAGAGGCATTTTTTAAATGCTTTTATTAACTTTTAATAAAATAAACCACGTTCCGGTATAATGTTTATATTAATTACATGTGTGGAAGATTTGAGCAAATATCATTAATACATGAGTTAGATAAAAATCAGAATATTAAGTGGAAAGAAGAAGCATTAACAAAAAAGCCGTACAACAAGATATATAGTTTAAGAGGGAAACCGAAGCAGAAAACAAAAATTCATAAACATTTAATTAACATCGAGATTTCAATTTTGTGGTCAAGATTCTACGCAAAATGAGTTTTTCCAGCGACGAAGTAAATTTTTTAGTTTACCGATATTTACAGGAATCTGGTGAGTTTTTATGGAATTTTCCTACCACCCGTCCGTCTTACACCAATACTAACACACAAACGGTATGGCATTTATATTTTCCTTCTTCCTTGTAGGATTCTCACATTCGGCCTTCGTTTTCGGCATTGAATCCCATATATCACAGAGTAACATCAATGGAGCTCTTGTGCCACCTGCTGCGCTACTAACGATATTGCAAAAAGGTTTATTGTATACAGAGGTGGAATGGTCTGTAGGCGAAGATGGTGTGCCCGTAAGGCCTATAGAAAGCCTAAGTCTTATAGACGCAGTTATGCCGGAAGCTAAGCCGCCTATTTCATCCATAAAATCGGAACCCGGTAAAAGTGGCAATGGTGATAATTCGGCCTCCAGCAGTACTACGGCAAGCGGGTCATCGGGTAATAACGTAAAATCTGAGGTTAAAACGGAAAGTAGTGCCAACGCATCTGGTACAAGTGCAAATGCTTCGGGTACAGCGACAGTAGCAGCGTCGGGTGGAGAAAACACAGAAACTGAAAGCGGCGCAACATCTAGTGCTACTGTTGGTGGGTCACCAGCTGGCACCAGTGGTACCGCGGGGGGAAATGCTACAACATCGGGTACAACAAATACGCCCAGTGATGACAAAAAACCAGATATTGCTGCAAGTAGTTCAACAACTAATACAGCAGATGATAATGCATCAACATCTTCCACCAATGGAAGTTCCAGCAACAATGCCTCCAATGATGCCTCTGCTTCAGCAACCGGAACAGGCGCAACGGCATCTTCACGAACAGCCACACCCACAACAACAGCACAAACAGGTTCAGCTGGTGGTGCCGGATCAACACCGGGCGGAGGGGCAGCCACATCGGCCCCAACTTCGGCCCTTGGATCGTCACCAGCAGCTTCTACCGGGGGCGGCGCTGAGCCCATGGATATTGATGCTGCCATCGAAATACCAGCTTCTAAAGCGACTGTATTGAGAGGTCATGAAAGTGAAGTATTCATATGTGCCTGGAATCCAAGTCGTGACTTATTGGCAAGTGGTTCAGGTGATAGCACGGCACGCATATGGGATATGTCCGATGCCATGGCTTCGCCCAATCAATTGGTATTGCGTCATTGTATTCAAAAAGGTGGAGCCGAAGTGCCAAGTAACAAGGACGTTACTTCATTGGACTGGAATGTATGTACTGCGAACAAAGATATTTCAAAATTTATATTAATTTCTCAATTTCTTGCAGTGCGATGGTACTCTTTTGGCCACTGGCAGCTATGATGGTTTTGCACGCATTTGGAAAACAGATGGTAGTTTGGCATCAACGTTGGGTCAGCACAAAGGACCTATATTTGCTCTCAAATGGAATAAGCGTGGTAACTATATTTTGTCGGCCGGTGTAGACAAAACAACAATCATTTGGGATGCATCCACTGGCCAATGCACACAACAGTTTTCATTCCACAATGCTCCAGCTTTGGACGTGGACTGGCAGACAAATAATTCATTTGCATCCTGTAGTACTGATCAACGAATTCACGTTTGTCGTTTGGGCTCCGACGTACCCATTAAAACATTCAAAGGACACACAAATGAGGTTAATGCCATTAAATGGTGCCCACAGGGTAAACTATTGGCCTCTTGTTCGGACGATATGACTCTTAAGATTTGGTGTATGAGTCGTGACAAATGTTGCCATGATTTGCAAGCACATTCCAAGGAAATTTATACAATTAAATGGTCACCGACTGGCCCCGGTACACAAAATCCCAACACAAATCTACTGTTGGCTTCGGCGTCTTTCGATTCCACAGTTCGTCTATGGGATGTGGATCGGGGTATGTGCATACACACACTGACAAAGCATACAGAGCCGGTGTATTCGGTGGCTTTTTCACCAGATGGCAAATATTTGGCATCGGGTAGCTTTGATAAGTGCGTTCACATTTGGAGTACCCAAAATGGCAATTTGGTGCACAGCTATAAAGGAACAGGTGGCATATTTGAGGTATGCTGGAATTCGAAAGGCACGAAAGTGGGTGCCAGTGCTTCGGATGGCAGTGTCTTTGTGTTGGATCTTCGAAAGTTCTGATCGACACCAACGACAACGGCGACCTCTACAACAGGCTCTACTGGTGGTTTCTTTTAGAAAATTCTGTTGCTTGAGGGCGGCTCATTAAATCATTCGAACCTTTTAGTTCTGTAATTTCTTTTTAAAATAAAGGTAACAAAATTGCAAAAATTGGCAAACAAAAAGAAAACAAACACGTTTCCTAGATCTTAAGTATGAATGTAAAGATTTTTTAAAGCGTATCATTATTTTTATGGATATCAATCACAGCCCCCTTTGTGTAGATTTAAGTATGGTATAGCAATTAATAATTGTCTTTTCGCTCCACGTTTTCTCACTCCCTCGACTGTATTTGCATTATTGTTTTGTTGTATTCCCTCTCTTTTCTTTCACTTATTTTTTTTTTAGAATTTTTGGTTTAAGTAACTGAGTTGCTTTTCAAAACCCATTTTGAAATATAAGCTATGTTTTTTGTATTGTTTAAGCTTCTCTTTAATAAAACGACGCATTTTATTTTTTTACAATGCTATTTAGTAGCCCTCTCGTTCTGCTCAATACCCAATAATAAAAACCCGAATGTATCAGTAATAACATTTGTATTGGAACACACACACGCAAAACAGAAAATAGGCTGAGTGTCAGAGGATAAAAAATAAGAAAAAATACACACTTTTATTTATAAACAAAAAAATTAATCTAATGCAATAAATTTCTTGCAAAATAAGAAACAAATCGTATTTGTGAAAAATATTTTTATCTTGAATTTATTGGGTTGCATTTTAGACATGGGGATTACGATATTAGCCCGGTTTCCACCTTCAATGTGTTTTTTGGCGAATCCTTCTTTGTGCGGTAAATGTTCAACATTTTGTTTGGGCAGCAACTATGAAATGAATTACAAAGAAAATGTAATGGCGCTTTTAGCTACCAGAAATTATTTTCAAACGATTTCAATTTTACACGTTTCTCTTGGCTGAGAAAATGAGGAATAGTACCAGTAATTCAATCATAATATCCTTCCTTATCTGCTTCTCCTTGTCTACTAAGAATATTGCAAATTTGCAAACATTCCTCACTAGCGTGTCATAAAAATATTCTAAAATAATATTCTAAGTAATCTAAAGCAAATTTTATTGAGATTTTCTTACAAAATAATATTTTCTTAAAAATCTACACAACTATCTAAGAACCTCTCCTTAAGCAGGCGACAAGGTTCTCGCTTTACTTCGCCATCCTTGGTGGTGCCTTTGAAAAACTTTGTTAATTTTGGACCTGCGTATTTTGGCTTTTCTGAATCGGGTTCATCGAATTCCATATCATAAGCCTTATCGGCCAAAGCGTTTTCTGCTGTGGACCAGCTAAAACGTACCAATCTCGGAAAACCAAATACCAAATCAATATTTTCTGAGAGAAAACGTTTTGTAACCGGGTCGCCAGGATAACCGCTGCCAAAATCATTGGATTTAAGTTTCAAACCTTCCGGAAATTGCCACACCTTTAGAGCATGGTCACGACTCACTTTAGCACAAATACTAGCCGCCGAAACAATTGGATATGTGGAATCAGCCTTCTTGGCAACGGTTATTTTAAATTGTGGAAATATCTTTTGCAATTTGTCTTGGTATTTTTCCGGTGGCCCAACAGTATCAACATAAACTTCGGCAATATTGACTCCTTCATCAACGGCAGCATGTATCAATCCAATGGCTGAATTCATGGACACTTCATTCAGAGAACATTTTGCCCTTCGAAACATACTGGTACTAATGACATTTGGTGATATGATTTCCACAGCCCAACCAATACAAGAATTGGCATATTCCTTGGTATTGATATCATCGAATATAATATCCCTTTTCTCTTCAGTCAATTGTTTGGAATCGGCACAGCCTAAATCAATGAGAGCCTGTTTACTTTTGATGGGACAAAATGCAATGCCATATACCATGGGCCCCAAGACTGGACCACGTCCAGCTTCATCTACTCCTAGCATGCAGGGTTCATCTTTGCACACTTGTGGTATATCGGAAAAATAAACGGTATTTGTTGAGTTGTCTTTCGATGCAATGAATGGACCCAACTTTTTTAGAGAAGTAATTTTATCAATTAGGCCGTCGCTTTCGTTGTTCTCCTTTTCTTCATGTTCGCCATTTTCGATGGTTTCATTCAAAGGCTCATCTTTTATTTTGATATCATCCGACATTATGTGTTTTGTGTATATTTATTGACAGTGTTTGTTCGGAAGGACTTCCTTGTGAAATGTGTTATTTGCAAAACCAATTGCGCCTTTTTGTCTGTTTACATTTCGAGTGTTTTGATGCTTCTTCTAGTTTTAGGCAATTGTCAAGGAATGGTTAACCCACACAGTTGATAAACAGTGGCAAATTTACAGCGTAACACTTGGCGCACATTTATATCAATTTACCAATGAACGCAGAAATATTTCAAAAGAAAAAGAAATAAATTAATCAACAAAGTTTATGCAAAAGAAAACGTGTCATTCACCTTTATATATAATTTAAACGCCGTTTATTAAAAAAAGAAACACATACACATAATTTTCAAAAAATGAGGTGATATTACAATCCATGGTAGATTTAAATATGAAAAGTTATGCAATCAAAGATATTAATTATTCAATTATTATTCCTTTAACGCTGTCAAAATGTTTATTCGTATATCTCATGGTTGAAGAATACAGATAAGTGCATCAAAGCTTGGGAGCATTGATATGTCAAAAATTTTAAAATGTTTTTTTCAAATATAAGTCGATTTTAATATGTTTTCTTATACTACGTTAATCGGAGGTTGTAATGATAAAAAATGAGGTGATATTACAATCCATGGTAGATTTAAATATGAAAAGTTATGCAATCAAAGATGTTAATTATTCAATTATTATTCCTTTGACACTGTCAAAATGTTTATTCGTATATCTCATGGTTGAAGAATACAGATAAGTGCATCAAAGCTTGGGAACATTAATATGTCAAAAATTTTAAAATGTTTTTTCAAATATAAGTCGATTATAATATGTTTTCTTATACTACTTCTCAACAGGTTTTACAAATTTTAATAATTCTTCATTCAAGATTTTCAATTCCAAAATCGGTTTGACAGTTCATTATCCCAGCAGCTGTGTCAATACCAATCTACCTGTATTTATTGTATTTACGCAAATCAGAGATGGGAGCCTTTTTTAAGCAGTGAAATTTGACAAAGCAGATATGCACATGTTAACTGAGACCATTTGAGGTCCATCCTCAGGCTGGAAATATATAAAGAGCATATTTGGCTGGCTTAAGTCATCGGCTGGCTTCTTCGTAGATGAACAAAGGAGTTTTAGGTTGACCTAGTTCGATTTTGGCCATGGGCTCCTTTGTTCATTTCCGAAGAAGCCAGCCGATGACTTAAGCCAGCCAGATAAGCGCTTTATGTATTTCCAGCTTCAGTCCAACTTTGGTATACCATTTTCAACACTTCCGTCGGTTTCTCACGAATAAATGCTTCAATATTGTCTTACAATATGTCAATTTATCTTTACCATGGCCCCACAAAAAGTGTTCAAACTTAAAACCGCCAAACGCCAAATGAAATAAATTATTTTTTTCGATATCATAAACATTTTTATATGTTTGCAGTTCTTGAACAGAGCAGTATTGTATGTCATCATGACAAGAAACGTCATGCGTCATACGTTGCTATTTAGTCTCTCAATTCACAGTAAACACACAGTTGATAATTGTCCGAGTATTTGTTCGACCATATGCAACAAACTTCACATCGATTTTTTTCTCTTTTCTTTCTTTCCGGTTTAGGACTCTGTGAAGTGTGCTTGTTCTCGATATCGAGCTAAGGCCAAATTTTAGAAAACCTAAATATTTAATTTTTGGCAACTTGCACCAATTATTAAATAAAAACAAACTAGAAACATGTCAACCAAAGCTGAACTCGCTTGCGTCTACGCTTCCCTTGTCTTGGTCGATGATGATGTAGCCATCACTGTAAGTATCAATCCCTCGATTTCAATAACAACAACAGAGTGTTCCAAAATACCCACAACGCAAATCCCTTAAAATCTTGGGGATCTGTGATCTAAAATCAAGTTTTGGAGCCATCAAGTCAATTACAAATTCTAATTGTGTCCATATCTTGTTTTTCTAGGGTGAAAAAATCTCGACTGTCTTGAAGGCCGCCAATGTCGAAGTTGAACCTTACTGGCCCGGTTTGTTCGCCAAGGCTTTGGAAGGTGTCAATGTTAAGGACTTGATCACCGCCATTGGATCCGGTGCTGGCGCTGCCCCAGCTGCTGCTGCTGCTCCCGCCGCCGGTGGTGCTGCCCCCGCTGCTGAAGCCAAGAAGGAAGAAAAGAAGAAGGAAGAAGAACCCGAAGAGTCCGATGATGATATGGGCTTCGCTCTCTTCGGTTAGATGGACAATTGTTTGTTTTTCTTTACCACCAACAAACAAAAAACGAAATGCTGCTTTTTTATACCAATTACAAGAAGTGTATTTGATGTACTAGACGCCCACAACACAAGCATAGAGTGGAATAACAACAGGACGTGTTTTTTAAGAGTTTTGTACACGTTTTAATGTACAAATTTATTTTAAATCAATAAAAAAGTAACATTTTTGTTTTTTATGAAAAAGTGAATGATGTTCCGAGCGTATTTTCTCTCTCCTCCTATAGTGGGATTCTCTAACTCTTTTTTTGAGTTACCGAAATAGCAGTAAAATTATCAATGAAAAGCCTAAATTAAAGTTAACGGCACTGTTGCTATTGGAAGGGCTTAACTCAAATAATTAAAGGACCCCACTACTGGTCTTAAAATAGAACTGCGGCAGTTATGCTATGACTTCATCCAAAACCTTTGCTATTTCGTGCAAAGTTTCTCCATTCAACTCCTTAATGCCCAGGCCAATCATAAACTCGTGTGGACAATTGTTGAGCTTAGATCTGTTCACCAGAAATTGTACGCCACTGCGTGTCTCATCACGATCGGCTCCAAAATTGCATGTTATTGTAATGGGTACGGACATGTGAAATTGTGGATGATTAATGGGTCCCTGCACAGCCAGAGGAGCACCGTCATTGCGCTTCAAATCAAATTGTACGCTATACATATTTGGCACCCGTCCATATTGGGTGATCAGCAGAAACCATTTATTGGCAAATGCATGAAAAACAATTTCGGTTTCGACGCCATTTATTTTGCATGACAATTGTTTATTAAATCCATTAGTTTTCACAGAAGAAATGCACATTTTCTTTTCCTATTCGAATTGAGAACGTTTTTAGGTCTACGTTTGTTTTTATTTTTGCCGTGTCACAAAATGTCAAAATTCCCTTAGTTTTGTTTTCATTTGCCAATGTGTTGACATATCGGGGTTTGCAAAAATCGTACGGTTAGTGAATTGTAACGTTGACGTATGTAACTCAAACGGCATGCATCGTAACACAACAGCACATTGATTTGTATTATTTTGTACAAATTCTTATAAAATATTATTGGACAAGCCGAAAATCGAGTAGTTTAGAGGTAAATTTTCTCAGTAAGAATAATCTAGTGTCACCATCTGATTTAAAACCAAGTCTTTTGTGAAATTTTAGAAAGAAGATTTTCCCAAATTTTTAGAAGTGTAATGCTTATGTTTTCCAAAACATCTGTTTTTTTGCTGAACCTTACTGAATTGTTTGAAATTTTTTACGTGAGAGAGAAAGTTATCTCCATGGTACAATGAATTCAAGGTAGGGCAGAACTACCATATGATTTCAATTTTATTTATTTTCTTGGCTTAATATGTCATCTTTATTTGTTTATGTATGTGTTTTCTTTTCAATAACAAAAAATTGTTCAGAAAATATTCAAATTCAGGTGTTTTCAAAATGTTTATTTCAACGTATGCATCTACAAAATCTAGAGTTTTTACAAGCCAAACAGGTAGACCTCTATACTAGCAATTTTTTCAAAGTTGACCTACCTTCTCTTCATTGTACCATGGTTATCTCCGTTTAAGTTATTGAATTATTTTCGTACATGCCATGGTAGAAGAATACAGGTAGATGCATTAACGCTTCGAACCTGGATATGTCAAAATTTTAATTCTTTTCTTTTTCAAAAAGAAGTAGAATTTTATAGGTTTTCTCAAATGACATCAATTGGAAGTTGTTATTGTATGCATTTTTCAACAATTTTTACAAATTTAAATAATTTTTCATTTAAAATATGAAAATTGTTTTGCGACTACCTGTAATCTTCTACCATGGTACATGCCTAATGTCTATCCGGAAAGCTATTTGATCTGTTCCAGAACCTACTAGTTTCTACTAGTTTTGTAATTTGATGTAATTGATGTCATAAAGAATTTCTCCCTATATAAGCATTTTGTTAAAAATTGTAAAATAGACAAAACCAATTGTTGCATATTTTAAAGTCTATTTGCCACTATAAGACTCCGGTACAGAGCTTTATTTTTCCTAGCTTCTTGATGTTGAGCCACCTTTTTCCTCTGAGAGAAAATGTACTTTACATATATAAGTCTTCGTATACCCTCGTTGATATCTCGTTTTTTTAACGGCATTTTTTGAAATTTTGCAAGCTTCTTCAAATATTGAAGGGTGTCTAAAGAAATTTTATCCGGATTAACCCACATTTATTTGTTCTCATTACCGAATTTAATTTAAATTCGGTGAGTTCTGTAAAAAGAAATGAGCCAAAACTACAAATTTCAAAGTTTGCATATTTGTTCTCTATAAAACAAAGACACGTGATACTCAAAAGAAGAAGAAGAAGTGCTGCCAGTGATTGCAAGATGAATTTTGTCTTGCAAGAATTTGCAACTCTCAGTGAAAAACTGTCAGCATTTCTCTCTCGAATCGTTCTCTTTCGAGTTAACAGATGATTTCCGTCTACTATTTGCAACAATTGTTATATATTTTAGGTTGACCAGACAGACTTATTGTTTACAATTGAAAAATCTACGATTACAAAATAGAAAAAGTATCGATTAATAACAAAAATATACCTTGCAATTTTCACCATACCGAAAAAATCGACTTCGATGTTCAGACTTCACCAACTACACCACAAGTCGATTAATCGAAAGTCGACTTACGTATCCCTAGTCTTTCTCAATTTGTTTTCAATTGTTGTTGAGTGCGGATGTTTTGCTGCTCTGCGCGCTGTGTCCGAAAAAAAGAGAAAAAATACTAGAAAAAACGAGCAAAATATAAATAAATAATAACAAATTAAAGAAGAAGAAGAAAATTAGTGTGGAAGAAATAGCAAAAAAAAAAAAAGAAATATTACATAGCTACTACGGTTGGAAAATATTACAGAGTGTAAATTAGCAGAGAAATCCAACGGGAAAAACGCAATTAAGTAGTTCAAATCGGTAAATCGGTGGGGATGACGGATAAAAACCCACAATAACAAGAACAATTTAAAAAGAAATCTTAACAAATCGTGTATTTTCTCGTTAAGAGAAATTCCTGAATCAAAGCAAGCAACAATTGTTAATAAATTAAAAATATAATCTATTTGTTTGGCTTCGCGACCAAAGGAATTCTGTGTAAATTTATGTGTGTTTGTGTGCAATTATTGTCAAAAATAACAAATAAGAAAAAAATCTGCTTAAAATCCTAACCATTGCAATTGCGTAAAAATATTTGTTGGCCGTGTGAGTTGTGCAGCAAAGCAAACAGCAAAACAAGTGTGTTGAAATAAGAAGAAACGTGAGTGTGTGTGAGCGTTGTGTGTGCGCCTAAGAAGGGGTTACACAGAGAGGAGGAAATAATCAGAATTGTGAAGTAGTTGTGTGAGGTGGCCTTTACCTTATTTTTTGTGTGTTGTTTTTCTTATTGGACCACTTGCCATCTCTCCTGTTGGGCAGAGTTGTCCCTGGCGCCAAATAAAAAAGGAAGCAAAGAAAAAGAAGAATTGTTTGCTATTTGAATCTCATTTAAATTAAATTCGGTGTGTCAAATTCGGTTTTTTTTTTAAATAAGTTTCTGTGAAGTTTTTTGATTTGCTCAAGTAAAACCAAACAAGCGAAACAGCCTAAACATTCAGTTCGTATTTATATATCCGACCAGTACGAAAATCAACAACACGGATACATATCGAACTGCTCACAAAGATCCCTCGCCTCCGCCCGATACGGAATTTTTCGCCGAAGCCAGTTCAACCAGTGACGACGATTTCAATTATATCAGTCAAAACGGCTCCATACCGAATATTAAGCCCCTTAAGACCACCAATAATAAATTATCCTCGGCTATTTTAGCAGAGACGTCATCGTCGTCATTGCGACGTCCCAAGTCAGCAACAACAACACCACCATCATCGTCCGGATCAACATCATTGACATTTCCAATATCGTCGTCGCCACCATTGCCAACGGCCTCAATAGAGGATATAATACGCTATAGGCCAGTTGCACCACCAACCGTAGGAGATTTCGCGAAAAACAACAACAACACCAACGCTAACATCAACAGCAGCAGCAGTAGCTTGAACGGCCACAACATTATTGCTAAAAACATGGCCATGGTACGCAAAAAACAAGATGACAAATATCTGGAAGCATTGCGTGAATTGATTACCACGGGTGGTGGTAATCGTCAATGCTTCGATTGCGGACAAAAAGGACCAACATACGTCAACATGACAATTGGATCATTTGTTTGCACACGCTGCTCTGGAGTACTGTAAGTATTGGTTGATATATATTTTTGTATTTTGCAGAGTAAAAATATTTGCTGGAATGTTCTATGAAAAAATTGTATGAAGCTTGAGGAATTGTGGTGCGGGAACTATTTTAAGAGTTGGGAGTTATGGAATAACTCGTTTATTGAAACAAGGAGGAATTTAGGTAATTGAAAATGGAAAATTTGAGACAGAATCTAGAGAGAGGATAGGCCAAACCGTAGATATTTGCGTAAGGTAATACGACATCACTTAAAATAAATAATTAAATCCATTTTTTATTTATTATCATATTTAGATATTGAATTTAAAAAAAAAAGGAATTTCAGAGAATACAATTAGTAACCCAAACCCCCAAATGACGGCGACTTTGGGTTAACGTATTTCCATGGTTTTTGAATCGTTTTCCAGCCAAGCACATTCCTCGACATTCTATGAGAAGTCCATTTTGCATTCTAGGGGAAAACCTTTGGTCTTCATTTAAGAGAGAAGACCTTTTGGTATTCGATGAACAGACCTATTGGTCTTCTACATGAACACCATCTGGTCTTCTTTGGAAGACAATTTGGTTTTTTTTTGAGAAGGCCTCTTGGTCTTCTATGAGAATACCTTTTGGGTCTCCTATGAGAAGACTTTTTGGATCTTCTATTAGAGATCCATTTAGTCTTTTTTGAGAAGGCCTATTGGTCTTTGATGAGAAAAACCTTTTGGGTTTCGATGGTTAGACCTTTTGGTCTTCTATATGAGTATCAATTGGTCTGCTTTGGGCGATGAGAAGACCTTTGGTATTCAAGAGAAGACAATTTGTTATTCTATGAGAAGTCCATTTGGCCTTCTATGAAAATACCTATTGATCTTCAATGAGAAGGCCTCTTGGTCTTCTATGAGAATACCTTTTGGTCTTCGATAATCTGACCTTTTGCTTTTCGATTATCAGAACTTTTGTATTCGCAGAGAAGATCTTTTGGCCATCCATGGGAAAACTATTTGGCCTTCCATGAGAAAACCTTTAGGTTTTACATAAGAATGCTTTCTGGTCTTTTATGCGAAACCCTTTTTATACCCTCCACCATACTCCTCGAAATACTCATGTCAGACCAAACAAAGTATATATATTCTTGATCAGCGTAAAATTCTAAGACGATTTAGCCATGTCCGTCTGTCTGTCTGTCTGTCTGTCTGTCTGTTGTAATCACGCGATCTTTTAAACAAATTGAGATTGAATGCTAAAATTTTGCGCACATGTATATTTTGCCAGTAGGCAGGTTAATTTCGTAAATGGGCCATGTAGGTCCAAGTTATCATATAGCCCCCATATAACGGTACCTCCCGATATTCGGTATTTTGATGATTTTAGCGACATTATTCACCGGAATTGTTTCGAATTTGGCATTTGAAGTTCGTAATGGATACTTCAGCCTAAGACAGAAAATTATCTGTGCAGGTCCACGTCTTCGTATAGCCCCCATATAACGGTACCCCCCGATATTCGGAATTTGGATGATTTTAGCGACATTATTTAACGGCATCGTTCCAAATTTGGTATTTGAAGTTCGTAATAGATACTGCAGCATAACACAGAAAATGAGCCATGTAGGTCCACGTCTTCGTATGGCCCCCATATACCGTACCCCCTGATATTCGGTTTTTTGATGAATTTAGCTACATTATAAACAGATTTTTCTTCAAGTTTCGCATTTAAATATTGTAATAACTTATGACAAAAGTTTCCTATGCAGGTCCACGTCGTCGAATAGGCATTCGGTATTTTTAAGATTTTAACAGAATTGGAGGGTATTAAAAGTTCGGCTCGGCCGAACTTACAGTTTTTTTACTTGTTAGTCTCCATTTAATGACGTCAATGAGAATACTTTCCTACCTAGAACTTTTAGCCTTCCATGGAAAAACTTTTGGGTCTTCTAGGACAATGTCTTCTGGTCTCCTAGGAGAAAATCTTTTGATATTCATTTAGAATGGCTCTGGGTCTTCTATGAGAAGACCTTTTGGTCTTATAAGAAAAGACAATTTGGTCTGCCTTGGGAAGATTGTTTTCTCAATGAGAAGACCATTTTATCTTTTATGGGAAACATTTTTGTTTTATTTAGAAGACTTTTTGGACTATGAGAAGGTATATTGTTGTCTTTTGAAAGCATCTTTTTGTCTTCAGTCAGAAAAACTTTAGGTCTCTTATGGGAATACTCTTGGTCTTCTGGGTGAAGGCTATTGGTCTTCTATGTGAAGACTTTTGGACTTCTATGCGAGTACCTTTTGGTCTCCTACGAAAATATGATTTGGTTTTCCGTATTCAATGAGAAGATATTTAGGCCATCTTCGAGAAGACCCTTTTATTTTCTATAGGAAGACCTTTGGTGTGTAGACCTTTTGGTCTTCTTTCGGAATGGGAATAGCTTTTTCTCCATCTTTTTTTTCTATGAGCAGACCTTTTGGTATTCAATTTATACACAAAATCCTCGGTGTGATCCAAGGTATTATTTTTACCATTCATTTCAATAATTGCTCGATGAAAATTCACTTTATAAAAATTCAATTCCATATAAATTGTTATACTTTTTTTTTTTTTTTGGTGGACCCAAGCTTGTATTTTTTGGAAGCAGGGGTCCATCAGCCTGCTATATTTGCTTTTACTTCGAAATCGTTCTCCGATATCAAAGTAATTTTCGTGTACTTTGTACAAACTTTTGTAAAGGAATTTTTAAATTCTCTTTATTTTTTCATTCCTGTTCAACAATGCATGGGGAATTTATTTCATCACGATTTCTGGTTTCCTGGTCTTTGCTGTAAATATCTTTGTGTCTGTCTGTTCGGTGTTATGTGTTGTTATGCAGCCACGTTGCAATGCAGTGAATGAATTATCTGTCCCTTCTTTTATTTTTGCAGCAGCAGCAATTTGGTCTTGACTTCTTTTTTTTTTTCTTTAAAGCTACTACTACTGCAACTGTTGGTGCTGTCGCTATTAGGGTTCCTCGAATGAGTCATCATTTAGTCTGGAGCAGCTGCAGTATCATCACCAGCCAGTCAGCCAGCAACATTGGAATGAATAAAGTCCATTGCAGCCAGTTTTTGATAGTCTTCAGTAAAAACAATAACAGCAGCGGCAACCGGCAGCGGCTTGAATGCTAAAGGTTTCGAATTTCTTGCCGGGTTTTGCAAGTAATTTTATGTTTGTCGTTTTGCTGTTGTTGTTCTTTGTTGGTTGTGCAAATTCATTCCGGTATTTATTGGTTGGTCGATGGCTTGCAAAGTATGATGGTGGTGGGCTTCAGTTGGTTGGGTATATACCAATCTAACTACACATGTGCGACGATAGTGGGGTTTCTCAACGGAATTGTAATGCAGGTTTTGTTGCTGGTTATTTTTTTGTGTTGCTCGTTCTTTAACCAAGTCATGACATTCATCCTGTCGGTCGTTCCGTCTGGATGGCCATTCACTCACTCAATAAAGTCAATGGAGATTAGTTGCTGTCATCGTTGTTTTCCTCCTCTTCTTCTGTCTTCTTTTCTTTTACTTGAGTTTACATTTTCACATATTTTCATATAGCCATCATCCCATCCATCCATCCACTCCATTTCAGTCCATCATTATTATTACGTACGTTACCATCAGCCCAATCGGGACACTAACCAACCAACCAACCAGACAAACACTGTCATTGTACTGTGTAATAAATTCCAAACTTCCAATTGCTATGAAAAAGAAAGCCATAAAAAATATGAATAAAGAAATATCTAGAATGTTATGAAGTTATGAATGGCCAGAGAATGTCAAACTATGCACCGTGGTGTATTTGGAAAATAATGGATGATTTGAAAACCTTTTGATTATGAAAAGAAAAATCATATTAAGAATAGGATTTGGGAAAAATGTATTCGGAAAATTTCGGATAATGGGAGAAAAGGACTGTAGAAGCAAATTTTAGATAGAAATATTGAAAAAAAAAAAAAAAAATAATAAATAATCAACCATTTGTCCTTGATAAAATTATCAATAAAAATTCCTGATTTTTACTACGAAGTATTTTGGCCAGGAAATCTTAAAATTCTAAATTTTCTTTAGAAATCTTTATTTTTTATAATTAATGCTGAGTTCTCTCTACAAAAAAATCTCAAAAAAGAAAAAAAAATATTTGAAAATGATATAAAAAACATGATCTAAAATTTTTTATACGTCGTTAAAAGATTACATTTATTTTAAAAATTCATAATTTTTAATTATAATTTGATACCGCCAAAACGTTCCTCATCGAAATAACGGATTTAGACACAACATCTCTTTGAACCAAATCCATTTCAGAACATTTCGAGTCGATCTAGAGTTGTCCGTCCGTCTGTCTGTCTGGCTGGTGCGCACCATAACCCTCGAAGGGAGTATCCGATTTGGTCCAAACTTAATACATCGCAATATTATCATTAAACATAGATCAAGATCCCAGATGGACAATATCGGTGCACTTTTGTTAACTCAGCTACAAAAGGTCAACATTTTTAAAAAAAAAAAAAAACACAAATATTTTATTGTACAGAAAGAGAAAGAAAAAATCCGATTTTGCTCCAACTTCGGAAATCCTAAAATTTCCATTAGTGGTAGGTCAGATGAGAAAATAGACAAAATCGGTCCACTCCTTCAAGTATATCCCCCACAAATGGTGTGTGGAAATCACTCTAGTTTCCGAACAAAATGAAGTAGGTTGATAAAATTTTACTCAAATGTATATTATGTCTGCAGGACTTTTGGTATTGAAAATAGGCCATGTAGGTCCACGTTTTGGTATAGCCCCCATATAATAGTACCTCCCTATTTTCGGTATTTTGGTGATTTAAGCGACATTATTCACCGGAATTGTTTTAGATGTGGTATTTGAAGTTCATAATGGATACTACAGCCTATGATAGAAAATTGTCTGTGCAGGTCCACGTCTTCGTATAGCCCCCATATAACGGTACACTCCGATATTCGGTATTTTGACGATTTTAGCGACATTATT